GAATGCATAATAATCGCCCCTGTTTGTGAGTGTGCTTTGCATGCATGTCTGTTTGTGCATGCATGTTTGTGTATGTATGTGTCTCCTGAGAAACTTCAGGAAGGTTTGTTAGGAGCAGATTTATGACTAGTCTTTGAGTGACTCATAGTAGAGATGTTTTGTTGTTCTGATTTAAGGACACCAGACCTGTCTTTCCTCCATGATTATTGCTTTGCTTTTATTGCTCAGTATTGCTCAGCATTAGTGTAGATCCAGCACTTTTCACGCCGTGACTCAAATTCAGCTAAAAACTGAATGGATCGGTAGGGCTACTTAAAGGTCAAAATTATTTTAGTTTATTTTTTAGTAGTGCAAAAAATCCCTTCATTTAGAAATGTATAATTTTGTTATAATAGTTATGATGACTAAGCAGGAAATTGTCTATTAGCACTTTAAATATTAAAACAACTCAAGCAGTAAATCTAGATAGTCTCTCTGCACTGCTATGCCGTGTCATTTTACCTCTAGTCTGAAGAGATTTAAAATGATCTCATGGCCCAGGGGTCAGAAATGTCCAACTGCTCGCAAAAACGTAGAAAAAAAACACCCCTTTTTTCAGCCCCACTTCGGCGGTATCAGATAAGATGCTGCTTTCCAGTTAACAAGTGTTAACCCCCCCCCCCCCCCCCCCAGAGGCAAAATGATACACGGTGTGGGTGACAGGCCCATAAATAAGGACTCGTCTTACCTGGTATCTGGTGCCGTTTGGGCTGTACGAGCAGCATTACGAGCCAGCTGTGGCTACCCATCATTTGTGCACCAATGTATGTCGGTTTATGTTTGCACAGACACACACAGCGCATATGTATCTTTCCTGTGTACATATCATTAGGAAGTAAATTATTGTGTGTGTTAAATCTGCATTCCAGTTAGAGCAGTTGAAAAATTATTCTAATTTGACATGATTGTGACATTAATGGAACGCAACTGTCCTCCTCATATTATAAATGACATGCATAAGCATCATTCATCCTTATTTTTTTCCCCTATATGAAATAATAATTTCAGCAAAATCTCTGACTCTGGAAAAAATATTCATATCAAGCTTTACCGAGCGAAGAATTATATATGGCAACTTAATTGACAATATGTACAATGTAAATTGAATTTTATCAAGTCATAAATATTCAAAAGAAATACTGCAGCATTTTTCCAACAAGTATTTCAATAAATGCCCTATAAGGAGTTAACTTAAGTTTCTGTACGGAGGAATGTAAATGTTGTCACCCTTGCTGCTGTTGTTCTTTTCTTTTTCTTTTTATTTATTAAACCAATTTAACTCGTGGATTTTGTCCATTGTTTAATCAAGCAGAAAAATAAGATTTTAGAATCAGGTATAATATAAAAAATAAGTAGATTTATTTATTTTATTTTCCAATTACTGGACAACGTTAGTTTAGATTGTAAAATGTTGCATGAAAATAATATTTAGGTTGTTAATTATTAATAACTTAAATACTGTAAAAATATTTTTGAATCATTTTTAGAATGATTAACGTGTTCACGTAATAATGCTGTACATTTATTTTTAAATAAAGAAAACTTTTGCTATCAAGCTCTGTATTATTATTATTATTATTATTATTATTATTATTATTATTATTATAAGGTCTGTTCAATATATCAAAATTATCGAAAAATTGCTAATTTGCCTATTACATACATTAGCTTTGGTTTGCAATAAATGTTAAATGTTTATTTTCTGTTCTTTTTTTTCAGAATGACAAAACTATAAGCGTGAAGCAAAGTAGTGGTGATATTTTATTAATTTTATTTTATTTTATGCAACAGTAAATCATATTTATTCTCTTTCAGAAAGTCACACCATAGAACATTTTTACAGTTAAAGATACATAAATACTGTGAAAGTATCGATTGAGTCAGTGCCCTTTATATTTTCTTTAACATCAAACTACATAAATATAACTTTATTTTCCTTTAAAAAAAAAAAAAAAGTTGCGAATTTGTCAACTGTTTACTTTTGCCATCTCTGTGAATTCTGTGAGGCTATTGCAGCAAATTGACACACTTGTAAATGTTTCTCAGGAATATGGTATTCATTTCTTTCTAATACTCAACTTCTCATTTCCACATGCAAAACCCCACTTTCAGACTTCAAGTTACTAATCAAAAGCTATATTCTAAACAAATAGTAAGCATGGGATCAATGCTTAAAAAAAAGTATTTAAAAATCCAGCCCTTAGTAGGAAGAAAATCTAACTATTCTTTTAGCCCAAGGCATGATGAGGTTGTTTACACAAGATGCCATATTGGACTTATGAGACTTACTCATGGATATTTACTCAAAGCAGAAGTTCTTCCAAAATGTCAATATTGCAAAAGCCAACAGACTGATCAGAAGCGTATACTTTTGAAATGCCCTATTTTTATTGTTATCAGACAATGACTTTTATCCAGAGAGACTTTAAAGTATGAGAAAATAATAAAACAATGAGATTTAAAATAAGTCTCAAATGCTAAAATGTACATGTTAAGTTTTACAAACTAATTTCAAGAGGATCATGTGATATGATTGATTGCAGCTGGTCTCTCATCTGTAATCAGCAATAATACAATCAGATTGATCAAAGCCTACAATAAACAGACCGATTGCACCCTACTGCCTTATCTTCGTTTTGGAAGAATCCAAATCCACCCCATCTCCTCCTTTTCTTGTTTACCAGCGGGAGCTCTTGAGGCCTACCTGATCTTGGAAGCCCTTACATGCTAGTTGACCAGGCAGGAGCCCTGGGTTCACTTATCTCCAAGCTCAGGGTTCTCTCCCGGCACAGCATGCATGCCAAACTTGGTAATAGCGTCAAGCAATATCTAAGTGTGAACTCCTGAAATACGTTACAAATAATGTTTTATGTTTTTTTAGACGTTGAACCTAATTGTGGCATTTTGATGACCGTTGCTTTAAATTTAAATGAGATTGTGCACTCTTCAAAAGAGGGTGGAGCTACAAATGCCTACTTTTCAGCATAATGGCAGATTCAAAACCAAGATCTGAATTGTGCATTTTTAGTGACCTTTGCTTTAAATTCAAATGAGATTGTGTGTTTTTTAAAAGAGGGGGGGAACTACAAATGCCTGTGTCAGCATAGTGGCAGATTCAAAAACAAGATCCGAATTGAATTGATCCTAATTGTACCATTTTTGTTGACCGTCACTTTAAATTTAAATGGGATTGTGCTCTTTTTAAAAGAGGGTGGAGCCTCAAATGGTTACTTGTCAGCATAGTGGCAGAATCAAAACCAAGATCTGAATTGTGCAATTTTGGTGACCTTTGCTTTAAATTCAAATGAAGTGTGTGTGTGTGTGTGTGTGTGTGTGTGTGTGTGTGTGTGTGTGTGTGTGTGTGTGTGTGTGTGTGTGTGTGGGCTCTATTTTGACAGTCCATGCGCAAAACGCAGGGCGCAAATGCTTTCAGGGCGTGTCAGGACGCGTTTTTGCTAATTTAAGGACGGGAAATCTGCCTTGCGCTTCGGCGCATGGTCTAAAAGGGTTGAGTTTATTGTTTTAAGAATAAACCAATTAGAGTCTCATCTCCCATTCCCTTTAAGAGTCAGCTGCGTCGCGCCAAGAGCGCATTCGCTATTTACATGACGTAAAAAAGTAAGTCTAAGTGGAAAAAATGAGCATTACACAAGCAAACAGTTAACAGTTTTTTAACAGAAAACTGTTAAACAAAGCATCTACTGCGTGAGAATGAGAGATAATGGATCACTTTCACTTTCGCTCTTGGATAGGGAAACCTTTACGCACAGACATCAATTAGTCTATAAATAAATACTTTTGTTTGTTAAGCGCAAATATTCGTTTCAAAACTATTTCTAAATTCAGTTCTAATTTCCAGCAAACAAATAATTGAATAATAATAGCAAAATGTCCTCTAAAACCTGAGTTATATCCTAAAACACATGCTGTGCCCCATATGGTCTAAAACCTGACAGGTGGGCAAATCTAAGCTTGTTTTTAATAAAACAAATATACATATGGATATAATAAATAATATTGCTAATAATAATAACATTATACAAAAGCAAATTATTATGAATGAACTGAAAAAGCCTCCCGAGATGAAGAAGACATAAAAGCAGTGGTTTTTCATATTCATGTAGGCTAGAAAATAATATGTTTTGTAATATTTTAATCCTTTATATTTATATCCTATATATATTCTTATTATATCCTATATATCCTTAATATTTATTTATTTTTTCATATGTAAAGATATTTGCCTATTGCTCTCTTGTGCGTATTAAGCAGTGCGTAAGCGAGGCGCAACTCTGCGCCGGAGTTTAGACCGGGTTAGTTTTGGTCTAATGAAAAATCTATTATAGTTTCTCAAAATAGCAACGCGCCAGCGGTCTGCCTCAGAACGCCTTTCTTTTTAGACCAAAACGCCTATGGGTGCACATCTGAGCGCTAATGCATTTGCTATTTAAACAGCGTAGCGCAACGCCTCAAAACGACACTTGCGCCAAGCTTAAACTACCAAAAGACTACTGCGTCACGCCTTGCGCCACACTGCGCCGGGTGTATGATAGGGCCCTGTGTGTGTGTTTGGTTTTTAAAAGAGGGCGGAACTACAAATGCCTGTGTCAGCATAGTGGCAGATTCAAGAACAAGATCCTAATTTAATTGATCGCAATTTTGATGAGTGTCACTTTAAATTTAAATGAGATGGTGCTCTTTTCAAAAGAAGGCGGAGCTATAAATGCTTACTTGTCAGGATAGTGGTAGATTCAAAAACAGCTAAGCTAATGAGGGAGAGATTGTCACCAGTGGGCGGTATATAATATATATATAATTGGGCGGTTAATATAATATTTGCTAATAATAATTGTGGGCGATTTATATAATGTTTGCTAATTATATAAATTTTTACCATGACATAGCCAGAGAAGCTGACATGGAACTCAAAACTCTCTTTTTTTCTCTCTCTTTTTCTCCAGATGCAAGTTCTTTAGTTTAACTGAAACGCCAGAGGATTACACCATCATCGTGGATGAAGATGGCTTTAAAGGTAGGCCTTATGGTTACTCTTTTACTAAGAGTGCACTGGGTTTAGTGCAGCGAGGCAAGATTAAGTAATGTAAAGTATCACCGATTCTCTATAATTCCTCGCCGCTTGACTCGCTGCCAATGTTTGACCACATATTGCTCCATCAGCGGGTTCCCCCCACATTTCCATTATGGGTTACTAGAGGCTAAGCTGTCAGTGGGTTTGGTTTTGTGGTTGATTGAGTGAATCTATGTCATTACACACTGGTTGCCAAGGTGAAACCCGTTTGTGGTCAGGGATCTCAGAGGCTGTGTGTTTGCGCAACAGGTACAGGTATTTTAGGTTCATAGAAGTTTTGTAGTGTTGTTGGCAGCTTTTAGCTGTAATTCATTTGGAGGACCAAAAAAACACATTCATATTTTTGGTTTTACGTCCTGATTTTACACCACATTTTGCATGCAACCCATTAAAAATACTGAGATCTCTTTAATATTTTTGTACTGTTAAACTAGTAAAAACTCCTTTATATTTTGACAGGACACAGAATAGATGCATTGATAAATTCTGTTGAACTGCACAGATTTCTGCCAAATCAGAAAGGCACTTTGATTGAAACATCAAGCAAATGTTATCAAATAGAGAAATATTCATGTTCGTGGCTGTGAAATGACAATATTAATTATTTTGCTAATTTTACACCCACACCAGCTTCCTTTTTCAACACAGGAAAGAAAACTGATATTTTTTTGATATTCAAAATTGGTGTATTTTGAACCTCTTTTCATTAACCCTTGTGTATTGTTCAAATGTACTACCCTTTCATTATGTTAGTGGCTGTCTTTGCCCCATTGACTTTTATTAGAACAAATTTTTTTTTATTGCAAAGTCTTTTGGAAAGAGGAAAAATTTGCTATTTATACTGTTGATCATGAGTTGGCAGCATTAACCCTGTAGAAAAGCCTGTGCAAAAATAAGTTTCTGGCCATTAATGTTTTATGGAGTAAAAAATGGAGTATTTGATGGAGTATTGTATTCAGAGAGCTGAGCTGCTTTTTGATTTCCCCAAACATATCACGGTAAGTGTGCAAAGGTATTCTCCATAGAAATGCCAGAAATTAAGCTGTTTTTGCACTGCAACTGTTCATAGCAGTTGTGAACAGTGATGCAGTGATGAACGGTACAAATTGCTAATTTTTACCTTGTTCCTCGAGGGAAAACCAGCAACAATTAAGACTGCGTGATTATATTGTGTCAAGGCTTTGCAATAAAAAAATGTCATTATAATGGAAGCCAATGTGGCAATAATAGCCATGAACATAATGAAAGGGTAGTCAATTTGCTCAGTGTATTGTTGAGTTTTTTTTATGTTCAAAAGCATTTTTTTCAATTCAATTCAATTCAGCTTTATTTGTATAGCGCTTTTACAATGTAGATTGTGTCAAAGCAGCTTCACATAAATGGTCATAGTAACTGGAACAGTGTGGATCAGGTTTTAGTGTTTAAGTTCAGTTCAGTGTGATTTAATCATTACTGAGAGTTCAAACACTGAAGAGCCAATTCATCGATGCGTAGCTCTACCAATCCTGAACCATGCGAGGCAGTGGCGACAGCGGAGAGGGAAAATAAACTTCACCTGATGGGAGTGAAGAAAAAAACCTTGAGGGAACCAGACTCAGTTGGGCACGACCATTTTAATTTCTCCGCTGGCCAAAAGTCTTGTGCAGAGCTTCATTCGCCGTGGTTTAGGCTGGAAGATGGCCTCAGCGAAGACTCGTCTGTCCCTGGAGCGTCGCTGGAATCAGACTCATGTTCTCCACTCCCCACGACCATCAGCGCAGCAGCAGCTCAGGATACGGCCTGGTCCCGGATATGGAATCCTTGGGATCATCACGTCGCTGGTCTTGGATCCAATCAGTGACTCCGCATAATCTGAGGACCTCGGGATGAGTATCCCCAGGTGAAAATAGAGAATAAAGAGAATAATTAGCGTAGCTGCTGTTCATAGTGTATATAAGCAAGATGCAGAAGCATGTGTGGAACCCGCTAGGTGATGCATTGAGTGTATGCTTTACTAAACAGATAGGTCTTTAATCTAGTTTTGAACTGGGAGAGTGTGTCTGAGCCTCAGACGTTATCAGGAAGGCTATTCCAGAGTGTAGGAGCCATGAAAGAGAAGGCTCGACCTCCTTTACTTGATTTTGCTATTCTAGGTACTACCAGAAGCCCTGAATTTTGAGATCTTAAAGAGCGAGTTGGTTTGTAGCGAGACAGAAGGTTGGTTAGATAAACAGGAGCTAGATTATTTAGAGCTTTATAGGTGAGAAGTAATATTTTAAATTCAATACGAAACTTAACAGGCAGCCAGTGTAAGGAGGATAAAATTGGGGTTATATGATCATATTTTCTAGACCTGGTCAGAACTCTGGCTGCTGCATTTTGTACTAATTGAAGTTTGTTAATAGAGGATGCTGGGCAGCCAGCAAATAGAGCATTACAGTAATCCAGTCTCGAAGTCATAAAAGCATGGACTAGCTTTTCTGCATCTGAGATGGATAGCATATTTCGTAATTTAGCGATATTTCTCAGATGAAAGAAGGCAGTTTTTGTGACATGGGATATATGGTTTTTAAAAGTTAGATTGCTGTCTAATATGACACCCAGATCTTTTATAGTAGAGCTAAAACTAACTTTGTATCCCTCTAATTGTAAATTGAGTTGCGAGATCTGCTGTGTGCAAGATTTAGGCCCAATAAGTAATAATTCTGTTTTGTCTGAGTTTAAGAGAAGAAGAAAATATGTTTCTAAAAAGAATTTGTCACCAAAAATCATTTTGTTTGCCGAAACACATAGACGTTTGTGGCCAAATTAAGACAATTATGTATGAGCCTTAATAAATGCAGTAATACTATGATAAAAATACTGATATGTATGCTTTATATATCGTTTTACAAAAAGTATGTTGACACCTGCATGTGCTTTATAAATAAATTGTGTCCGAAGTGTCAACGAAATGTAAAGAATTTTAAAATGCCTATATCAATTTTAAAATTGATTGTACAAAAACAAAAAAATAATAAGTGATTCATAAACACCAGGGTCCAAATTGATAATAAAATGTATAGTATTAAATTACTTTGTCTGTTTAAAAGTATTTTTAAAAGAAAAAGGTTTTGTTCCCAAAATAAATTTTCAGTACCAAATGTGTGTTAGATATAGTTTGTTCAGTGGTCCCTTGATTATCCTGGGAGTTATGTTCTAAAAATAACTTTCGATAGGCAAATTTCACAAAGTAGTCCGCTTTTGTTTTACAATTATTATAGATGTTTTAAGGCTGTAAAACCCCTCACTACACTCTTTATAAGCTTTTCTCACACAGGCATTAGCATTTTCACACTTTTCTCTTTCATTTAAACACTTTCAAAGTACAAACCTTCATAAAAAATAAGTCTAACATTATATAATGAAACCAAACATCAAAACCTGTTGTCAGGCACAAACATTCATCGCTGTGAGCAAAAGGTTCATAAAGCTTTTTAGCTTTTGTATAGATAATGTTGGCATCCATCGTAATGTTCTTTTTTTCTGCAGTCACTGATCTACAAAGCAAAAGCAGACTCCATCCTTTAGGTTAGTGGTCACCAATCCCGTTCCTGGAGGTCCGGTGCTCTGCAGGGTTTAGCTCCAACTTGCCTCAACACACCTGCCTGGACACCAGACCTCTATTAAAAAGTTTGGTGATCCCTGCTTTAGGTGGTCGCACACCAAATGAAAATAAAATAATTTATTCTAAATTATCTATTATTATCTAAATTATTTAGCTCACACTGCTAGCGATCGAAGATTTATTTTCATTTGACAAGCTGAACGCATTCTGTACCTTAAATGAGACATGGAGGAGATTGATTGACAGTGGTCTACTGCCAATCAAGGAGCAGAACACAATGTAGTGTAAAAAAAAAAAAAAAAAAAACTGCAACAAAACAAAACTACGAGGCCGCGAAAGGTCAATTGCATTATAGCGAGGAAACACTGTAGAGGCAAAAACCTGTGAGTAGTTTTAGAAAAGTTGTATTTGTTTTTTGACATTGATATATTTTGTGTTTCTGTTTGTCTGTTTCAGAGCTGCCAGAGTCTGAATATCTCAGTGTGGCCGACGCAACGTGGTTGGCTCTCAATGTGGTGTCTGGGGGAGGTAGCGCTACCAGCTCTCAACCAATCGGAGTAACCAAAATCGCTAAATCAGTCATCGCTCCATTGGCAGACCATAATATCTCTGTGTTCATGCTGTCAACCTATCAGACGGATTTTATATTGGTGAGTGTTACTGATTGCTGTTAAGAGCAAGGCATGAACTTTATAGTATTCAAACGGTTTATATACGGTTTAAAGGGGTAGTTCACGCAAAAATTAAAATTTATTTACTTGTTCCAAACCAATTTGAGTTTTTTTTTTTACTAAACAAAAGTAATGCGGGGAAAAAAAACAACCATTTATTTTCATAGTTTTTTTTCCAACATTATTTAGAAGATCTTATTTTGTTTTTAACAAAAGAACCACTTGAGTAAATGGAGGAAAATTTCATTTTGGGTAAACCATTAAATGAATAAACAATCATTCATTAAACATTTGACACTCACTAACTCTTAAAGAAAATGTACATTTATTTGTAAGCACCATTTAAATAGAGGTTAATGTTAAAATCTTTTGTGCTCATCCACTTTAAATTACTTTTAATGGCAGTTAAATAATACATTTAAGTAAAAATAATCCAAATTTGGCTTCAAATTTCTATTTTCTCCCCATAAACCAAGAGTCAACTTTGTAAATGTATTAAAAAGGAAAAACACAAGTATTGACTGTTTCGTTCACCCAAAAATGAAATTAACTTAATTTTACAAAAGAAGAAGTTTTGAAGAATGCTGGTTGCTGATACCCATTGACTTCAGTCATTTTCTTTTCTACTATGGAAGTTAAAGAAGCACAAATAAGTTTTGAACTAAGCTTTTGAGGGGAATAGTACATGATGACAGAGAGGAAGTACATGATGACAGAATTTTCATTTTTTGGGTAAACTATCCCTTTAAATTGTGTATGTATTCATACCCTTATCTCAGCTCTTAGTTGATGCAACAATTACAGCTTCAAGTTCATATGGGGCATAGGATGTGTTTGGATATAACTCTGTTTACTGACCACACTTGATGTTTTTATTAGTTAGCTGGAAATTATGACAGAATTTAAAAATAGTTTTGAAATAGATCTTTGAGCTTAACAAACAAAATTAAGTATGTATGCTTATGGATGTCTGTCCGTACACAGTTTCCTTGTCCACAAAAGAGAAAGAGAAAGTAAAGAGGTTGACTGGAGGAGGTTCGTTCTTTATCCTCGCTGCAGATGCTCTGTTTAACTATTTTGTCGCTAGTGAAGCATTCAGTTCATCCACTTACAAAGTCCGCCATGTAAATAGCAAATGCCTCATAGGTGATTCAACTAAGTCTTAAAAGGGAATAAGAGATTTGACTCTGACTGGTTTATTCTCAAAACACAGCCAGAAATCATTAGGAGAATAAGCTCAACATTGTTAGACCATGTGCCGCAGACACACCCTTAATGCTTTTGCGCACTGCAGTTTAGATTTTGTGCCTAGATCGTTAAAATAGAGCCTATTATGTCTTAAATAAAAAAAAATAATAATGATAAGGTTTAAAATCTTAAATTCACTGAAACATGGTGTTGTAGGTCATAAATCATTTTAAACAGGTCTTAATTTTCCTCTGTCAAAGTTGACATCCATCCAATCTCTAGCAATCCATCTCAGTAAATTATTATTTTTTAAAAATATTTAAGTTATTTATTGCAAAGAGATATGATTTACAATAGATGTTAGACATTTTTACAGCAGTTTCTCCAAATGAAATTCCCTAATCAGGAAAAGAAAACTAAAAACAATTACACAATTCCTCATGATAACAATAGAGCAACTTTTCGCTTTACATTTATCCTCCACTTATACAAAAAGTACGGGGAGTGGACATAATATTTTTAAATAGGCGTGAAACTTATACTTAATTATGCATGAAACTTATAAGGACTTATACTTAATCAATTTGCCCCCCAAAAAAAACAAATACATATTTGTTTGATTATTTATGTAATTGACTATTGCAACTTCCTACTAGCTGGGCTCCCAGCTAGCTCTATCAAACCTCTTCAGATGCTTCAGAACGCAGCAGCACGAGTGGTCTTTAATGAATATAAAAGAGCACATGTCACTCCGCTACTCAGTCGTTTGCACTGGCTGCCAGTTGCTGCTCGCATCAAATTCAAATCTCTGATATTTGCTTACAAAGCGATTTCTGGCTGCACCCCTTCTTATCTGCTCTCACTTCTACAGATTTAGAAAAAAATATAGCACTTAGCACTATTCATTGTTGCTGTTATAGTTGTGTAAATTGCTCCCTTGTCGGTAACACTTTATAATAACTACACACTATAAATCATTTATTAAGCATTGGCAAATAGTGAATTCATTATCCGTTAAGCATTAACTCTACATTAATAAACGTTAGTAAGCAGTTTATAACTGCAGCTACAAATGCTCTATTCTTGACTTACAACCACATTTAAAATGTGCTTAATAATTGTATTTTCATACTTAGTAAATTATTAATTTTTTTATTACTAAATTAAGTATTGCATCATTTACAAACCGGTTGTATTTAAGAGTAGTTGAAGGTTTTTAGGATCATTCAGAATGAGTTAGTAAATGATTAATAAACTATTGAAATCAACGTTTATATGTCTTATTATTCAGGCATATACTAATAGTCAACTAATATGTTAATAAATGCTTTATTAACTCAACTTCATGCAGTTTTGTGACCTAATTTAAAGTGAGGACTGTTCATGCTTTATAAATCCCTTATAAATGACAAATAAAGGCTCAATCAAATGAACTATAATCTTTGCAATCTTTTCTAAAATGTAAAACTACTGTAAAGTTTAAACAATGCTGAATAACAGGAGTGTCAAAATACAATAAAACTAGATAAAACAACAATATAATAATTAAACAATGTAATAAATTGTAATGTTTAAACTCTACAGTGATTTTATTTTAGATCAGGTTGCAAAGATTTATTTTTTTATTTGAAGTACAGTTTCATTTGTGTATCTTTAATTGAACAGGAATGAATAATGTCATTTTTCCTGTTTAGAATTGAACTGAGCCTTTATTTGTCATTTATAAAGGATTTATAAAGCATGAATAGTCCTCACTTTATATTAGGTCACAAAACTAGGTGAAGTTGAGTTAATAAAGCATTTATTAACATACATAGTAACCATTAATATATGCCTGAATAATAAGACATATCAACCTTAATTTCAATAGTTTATTAATCATTTACTAACTCGTTCGGAATGATCCAAAAAACCCCCAACTACTCTTAAATACAACTGGTTTGTAAATAATGCGATACTTAATTTAGTAATGACAAATAAATCATTTACTAAGTATGAAAATACAATTATTAAGCACATTTTAAATGTGGTTGTAAGTCAAGAATAGAGCATTTGTTGCTGCAGTTATAAACTGCTTACTAACGTTTATTAATGTAGAGTTAATGCTTAACGGATAATGAATTCACTATTTGCCAATGCTTAATAAATGGTTCATAGTGTGTAGTTATTATAAAGTGTTACCATTACTTTTTTGTGGCAAGCAAAAAGAAAAATCTATTGGCCCAACTAGGATCATTAGAAAATAATCATTAGTGTTTAGCCTTGTATAAATCTAAAATTATTCAAAATGCTCTTAAAAAGTCTTAAATTTGACTTGATGAAATCTACAGAAACATGGAAATATTTAAAACAGAAAAAATAATAATCATTCTGACATCAACTGTGTGTCCTTATTGTGTTAACACGGGTAAACGAAAACACACTGTAGACATACAGTAACTGAAGTCATCACTTCTCTTTTCCTTAACACAACCCATCAACCAATACCACAAAAAGCTGCTGTCATCTCAGCATGTCCAGTGTGTTTGTGAACACGTCCGGTATATCAGAGGCTGCACGTTCACCACTGCCTGTTTATGAAACCAACAAGAAATGTGGGAGCGATGGTAATCTGGGGGTAGTTATGTAAAGAGGATAAAGGATCAGCAGCCGCTTGCTGGAATTTACCAGAAAGTTTGCGTTTCACAGCAGCTGATCTCAGCCAGAGAAATAATCACAGTGTTTTCTAGAAAGAGGGAAGATGACCGGCCTCCTGTGCTGTTTCCTTCTCATCCTCAGCCTTGGCTTGCTTACTCAAATCTTTAAGAGCAGTTATGAAATGCCCGTCTGTATCCGGCCCATTAGGCCTAGAGCACACAGATGCCTCCTTTTTTTTTTTGGGTTACTAAAAAAAATAAAGAATGAGAATATTGTCTTCCACAGGAGATGTTAATGGATTTTATAGCCCTGGGAAAAATTTCTTTATGTAAGAGTGATCTTTGACGTTTTATATATGAGCCTTTTGACTATTTTTAATATTAGATGTTGTTGTTGTAGTTTTATTATTTATTTATTTTTATGTTTAGCCAGCATTTCTGTTAATACAATGCTATTTAGTGTATAAATAATTACATGAATATAGAGATTTTACAACCCTGGGAAAAACTTCCTTTTATGCAAGAGTGTAGAAGTTTGACATTGTTTAACATTGTATTGTATTTAGAAGTTTGGCATTGTAATTCAGCTTTTTGACCATTTTCAGTATTGGATGTTGTTGTCTTCTTGTAATAATATTATTATTGATATTATATTATAATGTTATTATTATTTTTATTGATATACATGTAATTTGTTCGTGTTGAAAATAATTAATCTACATTAAACAGAACTTGAGAAACAATTGGAGTATTCATTTGAAGAGGGCTAATAACTATAAACAAACTATATCTAAATAAATTTTTTTAAATAAATAAATTTATAAATAAGTTTTTTTTTAATTGTAATAATATATAATATTATTATTTTCATTAATATAAATGGTTTCCATCAAATGTTTGGTCATCATGTTAAAAATATCTTCTCTCTATAAAACAAAACTTGGTAAATAATTGAAAGTTAAGTTTAGAGGAGGGCTAATAAAAAAAAAAATATATATATATATATATATATATATATATATATATATATATATATATATATATATATATATATACACACACACACAATTATGGGTAAAAATATTATATAATATTATTATTTTTATTAACATAAATGTTTAGCCATCATTTTAGTTACATGACCAATGTTACTTAGTGTACATGTATGCATGTATGTACCGTATGTATGTACCGTATGTATAATTATTTAATTATCTGTTTATCTAATTATGTAATTTTTATATTTTATATACACCGCACAGTTGAAAACAAAGTTATTGTCCTTTATTGTGAAATTAACATGAATGTGTTAATTTCACAATCCCCCTCCCCCCAACTATAGACAGATTAGTGTAATGAGGCAGGTAAACTAGGCAGGTTAGTGTAATTAGGCAAATTATTGTATAACAATAGTTTCTTCCATAGACTATGGAAAAAAATATAGCCTAAATGTGCTAATACGATTGACCTTAAAATGGTGTTTAAAAACTAAAAAAAGCTGCTTTTATTCTAGTCGAAATAAAACAATAAGACTTTCTCCAGAAGAAATAATATTATAGGAAATACTGTGAAAATTTTCTTGCTCTGTTAAACATAATTTGGGAAATATATAAAAATGAAAAAAGTCAAAGGAGGGCTTATAATTCTGACTTTAACTGTATATATCTAGCAAACTAAAATAAATAAGACTTTCTCCAGAAGTAAAAATATAATTGAAAATACGATATAAAAATTCCTTGCTCTGTTAAACACCAAATGGGAAATGTTTGAAAGGTAATTAATTTCACCTGAGGACTGGTTAATGTTAATTTGATTTATAATTTATTTATTGCATAACTATATAAAATAGTTTTTTTTTTTTTTTTTTTACTGTGTGTGTAGTTTCATTTTTACTTAATTTTCATTTTTCCCAGTGCTAGATTACAATGGAATTTTCCCGTTTGACAGCACAAATTCTTTAATTAAATATTATTATTGGACTATCGTCACTTTTTTATATATATAGATGTTGAACAAAGGGCCAAAATAAGTTTTATTTTTACATGAAAATATTTGTTACACTGAATCACAATGCAACATTTTCATCTTTATTTTCACACAAGTTATTTGAAACCCTACAGTTATGCTTTACTTGCATGCGCTAAGCTTTCAATGAATATTTAAATGACTTTGCAGACACCAAAATGGGACATCTTGTCTTTTATCCATGCATAATTTAAAAACATGAAGAAAAAGTGTAACATCAAGACTCCGATTCACAGAAATGAAATTATTTTAAATTAGAGATACTGTAACTACTTAAACCTAATAGCTGAAATTGAATGCACATTGCATCATTTGCCACAAAAATCTAATTATATACTGCGACGCTCAATGTATTGCCCAGCTGAAATGTTGTTGAATCTGCATAAAATGTTTACTGTAGTTGAACTATATTCAGTTTTCCCATGAGGTCATACCAAATGGGTATCCTTAAAACGGTCTCAATTCTTTAGCTTTAATAAGCTCGTAAAGTAGTCCAAGGAAGCTGTGTATTCATGGATACTTAACCTTGAAATGCAGTTATTGTTGTTTTGCACATTTAGGGGTTATCAGGGCCCCCCTGGAACACTGAGTTTTTACTCAAGACATCATTATGTATTGTGTTCAGTTTAATGTAGTCTGGGTTTGGTAATGGTGTTTGAAATGCTAATGAATGTTCATTTGTGATGTGTTTGAGTCAGCTGATTTTGGTTAATGAAGAAAATGGCAGATTCGTAGTCTAAATTTAAGCATTGTTTGTGCTACTATAGATGAGATACTGTTTTTCTAAGTTGTAACATCTGATTGCCTCTGTCAGAAAAAAATCTTGATGTTTAATATAGAAATTTGAAAATTATGACAATAAATAGATTAGGTTTTACCACACCAAAAATCAATTAATCAATCAATGTAGATGGTATACCATAATTAATATCAGCCCTATTTTCCCCCATGCACTTCTACAACAATGGTCATAGGAATTAAGAATCAAGTTCAGTTTCATCATCGCTTTGCCTGGTATTTGTCATCTCTGCTTCAGATACTACAGTACAACATGAGATTTACCATTATTTATTACTTCGGAGTCCTGAGCTAATCAGATTTCCTTGGTAGACATTTAGATTTGCTAAATGAAAAGGATCTTGTCATTCTTTTGTGTGGGATTTGCAGTGATGGGAGTAACAGCATCTTAAATAAAAGTAATTAATGGAATTATTTTTTCAGTAATGAGTAGTCAAACAAATTGCTGTTTACCCCATTACAATGCTGTTAATCTTGAAGCTTTGCTACTAAGGATGCAAATTAGGCTTATGTGCAAAACTGGAATATCGCATAAAACGTTTACGAATAAAGCATTGTTTCCATCCAATGAGTGAGAGGGAAAAATGATCACTTACTGATAAACTGGCACCGAATATCAAAAAGAACTAGAACCTAAAGTTGATTGATAAACTTTGATGTTGGCTTGAGAAAGCCAACGTTACTGCGCTAGGACTGGGAATGGCAGTTGGCAGAAAGCACGGCGGCGGTTGCTAAGTGGTTGCTAGGCAGTTGCTAAAACGTTTATGGCATTGTTAGGTGGTTGCTAAGCAGTTCCTAAATGGCAATGCTCGTGTACATGTTTGATCAAATGCTAATACTTAGTAGGCATTTCTAGCATATGTTATTGCATTTAGATAATCATTCATAGCATGTAGCTAATCGTTATTAGCACTTGGCTTCCATTATCATTGTTACCATGCATAGTACACAGGAAGTCCCATTTGCTAGCACGAGTCAAACAAGCCAATGCCCAGGTCCCTACGATGTTCTGAAGTAGAGATATTGCTATTTTTAAATGGTTGCTAGGTTATACTGTTTTATTGCTATGGGGCCATTTGACAGGTTAGTGATGATACATCAAAGCTTCTTGGCAATATGAGTGATCTTAATCAACCCCGATGTTTCTAAGACAGTCTTTATGAGTGTCAAAATCTGGACTTGAACATTATGTATTCCTCGTGTTGGGTTGCAGCTGGAAGGGCATTCGCTGTGTAAAACAAATGCTGGATAAGTTGGTGGTTCATTCCGTTGTGGTGACCCCTGATTAATAAAGGGACTAAGGGAATGAACATTATGTAAAAATGGCTTGCCGTATATTTTTGAAAATACAACGCTTAAAAAGTGTGAAAGTGATTCATGCAAAAGTGGCTTGCCATATCAGTAAAAAATATGGAGTTTGTCAAAAATGGCTTGCCATATTTTGAGAAAAATAATGCTTAAAAATTATTTAATGAAAAACTATAAGTTTAATAAACCTTAAAGATATATCAACAAAATCTAACGCATCTAAATACAGCTTTTGGCCAAATTTGGGGCTTGTATAATTGTTTTTTATATGCCCTGGTTATAAAAATTAAAAATTTAACATTTTTTTATTAAAAAAACAATAAGTCTTATAGGCATGAGGAGATATAGCAACAATCTTGAATGCAGAAGGCAAATTTTGACCACATTTGGGCCTTGTGGCATGAACGGCCTAGGAGGAGATATGTTTGTTTTCAAGGACAGAGTAGCATAACAGTATGTTGGCTTTCTCAAGCCAACATAAAAATGGAATTGCTGCGGTTGGAGAAACCGACCGATGTGGGCCTTTTTGTCCTGGATAATAAATTATTTGCATCTAAAGATGGAAACAAAACACAATTTGAAGGTGTAGATGCTCTTTGGGAGTGCAGATACTTAAGACAGTTCCGGAGCTAATAATTCTGAAGTAGTTTGATGACAGACTTTGGCTGAGACATTTTAAGAATGATCAAAATAGCGGTTCAGAGATTTTACAATGTGGTTGGACTGCTGATTGTTATTAATGCATCAATGCTGTCCCATTCATGTTGTCCTGACACAAATCGATTAAGCTAACTTAAAAGTTAACCAATTTAAGTGGCCTCTACATAAAACAATTAAGTTGTTTAAATGAAATCTCAAGAACTGTGTTGTTTCAGCTCATTTCAAATTTCAAACTTTTTGAGTGTAGGAGTGGTACAGCCACATAACCTATGATGATTGGCTTAGGTAGAGTAAATTTCCATTATTCCCCAACCAGAGGCAGAGTTTTCACACAGTCTCGGTTGCACTAGGTTTTTATAATTTGCTGACCAATTGTGGTTTGTGCAATGAATATTTAAAAGTCTAAATCATCTATTAAGTTTTTTGGTTTACTATAATAATAAATTAAATTTAGTATTTGTCTTTCTTAGTGTCTCACTAAGTATACACAGAGTTGTGTACAATGTTTTTGTAATAATACATACATGCATACATTTATTAAGCTTATATGTCATTCATTTAACATTTAATATTTGGGCATCCAATTGTTTTCGACAAATATCTTTTTAAAAGTAACACTGTAGTTCTTTTCTCTTCCTTCGATTAGTTACTTCTAGTATGCTGTAACTCGGTTAGTATTTGTAAGACATACCTGTAACCAATTACTTTTTTTAAGTAATGTGACCAACACTGGTGATTTGTGTTTGTAGGTTCGAGAGCGAGATCTGCCTATGGTCATGCACACGCTGTCTTCAGAATTCACTCTGCTAAGGGTCGTCAATGGAGAAGCGGTCGCCGCCAATAGCACCGGAGTCACCAATGGTTTCGTCAAGCCTAAACTGGGTAAGCAAAACCGGTTAATTTATTTCGGATTTTAGCATTCACTTATTATTCAAACTGTCATTCTTATGCCTGAATCTAAAGATACAAAGCTAATGGCATATATTTAGACCTTACTTCAAATATAAAACAATATTGGAAATGAGCTTGAATGATCAAGCCCGTTATATGGTATGTGCACATATATGATCATGTTTCATTGGTCTGTCCTTTGTTCATATTTCAATCAAAACTGCTCCAGAGTTTGTTTGGAGGGCAGTATTTACACCAGAAATGATTGAACCAGAGTTTGCTTTCATCAAACCAAATTCATATAGCCTGAACACACCAATAAAGGAACTCAAAAATGCAACTCTATTTATTTACTCGCACATTTCATTAAAAAAAAGACTTTTTTTTTCTTTTCTCTGGTGCATTTTGAGAATATTTTGAAAAGGTTTTTTTTCCCTCATTGGTCCATAAAACATGATTCAGGGTAGGGCTGCACAAAATATATTGTTTTAGCATCAAAATCGCAATTTGTTTTGATGCATGTGATTGTTAAATGACCCTAAAAGCATTCAGGCATAAGAAATTGTACCATTCGTGACTTAACAATGATTAACATTATTGAATAATATTTATTTTCATCATTCAGTTACTGTACTGGAATACTGTTAGACTCGGGGAAACGATTACACACTTTATTTCAATTGTATCTTTTTCTTGATTACTTTTATAGATTGTGCATGAAATTACTCATAACACATACAAATACAGAAACGAAATGCAAATAGTACAGACCACATTGAAAATGTGTCGGGAAACCCCAAAAAGTGTATAGTTTATTAGATTTTATGAAGATGCACTCCCACTGCAGAATCATCACAATTGATCTAACATTATTAATTCTACCCAATAGAGATATCATGTTATCTGGTGAAATTGTATTCATATTGCAATATATATTGCAATATAAAATAATTTTGCTTTACAGTGACATATTTATTTATTTATTTAAATAGAAAAGCACCTGCTAAATGTGTTTGGTGTGGTTAGGCATCAGCTGTAGTGTGACTCATTTATTGATCTGCCCTTTAAACGTGTTGCACAGACGTAGACCTCTAATAGTTTCTGTAATTACTGCTGTGTTCTGTATTTTACTATAATTCATCAGTGCAAGTTATTCAAAAGACATTTCACAAACTTCCATCAAAATAAGAAGTTGGACATCAAACTGTTGTTTTAGCATCGTTTAGCTGTTGTTGCTTTTATAAATCACCCGAATAAACTTATCATTTTATAGTTTTGTGTTTATAAGAGACTTTTAAAGGCTTAACTAGGTTAATTAGGGTAACTAGGCAGGTTAGGGTAATTAAGCAATTGTTCTATAAAAATGGTTTGTTCTGTAGACAATCGAAAAAATATATAAATATATAGCTTAAAGGGGCTAATAATACTGACTTTAACTGTGTATGTGTGTGTATAACCTGCTAATATTATATGTACCCTGATATATTTAGTCTGATATGCATAGTAATGGGTTTTTATTTGTTTTGCTGACCCTTGAATGTAATTTTGTTAATGTTGTATTTATATTTTATTATTTGAGTTGAACAAGCACAGTGTTGTCCACCATTATAGTATCACATGGAATCTGCTCGCAAAGATATCCACAGATTTTTTTAGCCAGTTGTTAAGTCTATCCATTTATTCTGGTTTTATATTAATTTCCATAATGTTATTAATTAATGCAAATGTTTATGAGTTATTTGCAGTAAATATATATTATATATATATATATATATATATATATATATATATATATATATATATATATATATATATATATATATATATATAATAATAGTCATTCTGCTTAAAACTGCAGGATGTTTTTTATTTTATTTTTTTAAACAAAATTCTGCATGGAAATGGCAAAAAAGTCAGCTGAAAACTTGATGATGCATGAATTAATCACGCATTGTCAATTAACTAGAGATGTCTAGATTGAATCGCGTGTTTGGAAATCAAGTCCGATCATATGATTTCAGATTTGATTGGAATCGAACCTGCAGATCAGGACTTGAATATATGTATGTATATGTATATGTATTTTAAGTTAGGTATATGTAAGTTAAGTGAATTCATATTTATATTAGATTTTTTAGATATATTTACTGTTGCACTAAAGTCCAAAAGCGAAGATTTTATGTTGTTTATTACTGGTTGTTCAAGCTACCTGACAGAAATGATCTGTTTGTTAACAGAGTTGTTGAATGGTAAAATAAGGTAAATTAAATAAAACATCCTGGATCTGTTTCTTCGCTCTTCTTTATTTTTTATGTATCATAGAAGTAACGGACCGGGTTTCGGTATCAGTAGATATTGATATTTTAATGTAAAAAGTCAATTCTTGTATCGATTCTGAATGCATAAACTCAATTTTTGTTCAACTTTTCCCACATTATTTCAGTCGAAAATGTATTAAAAGTTTGTGAATTTGTGTTTTGGGTTTAAAACATAGTGAAAGGATTTCTATTGTAGACACCACAGGCCTTTTGCTCAAAATAAGTTGAAGAATCTCTGAGATGCAGAGTGAACCAGAAGTTGCTGAAAGTTTAATTTCAGTATATTGAAGCACTTCCAACAGAAACCGAACATCGAGTAGGTGACGGGGCTTTTTTGTGGCTCATTCACTCATAGCAAACTATAAGGGGCATGCTTAAAAATACCACGAGTAAAGCTGACAAAGAAAGATCACCACTCCAAAAGCTAAAGCAAATGATCAGAATTTTATTCAAGATTAACAAAACATTTTTTTGTTCATTAACTTGCATAGATTAATTGTTCACTTAAGTATGTGTTCAATTAAAAAAAATGTGCGAATTCTCTTCTTGTTTTTTTCCACAGTTCCTCGACCAATCATTCACCCTCTCTCCAGCCCCAGTAACATGTTCTGCGTTACCAGCCTGGACCCCGACACGCTGCCCTCGGTGGCCACGCTGCTCATGGACGTCATGTTCTACTCGGGCGGGTAAGAGTTCAGCACCGGGCCTCACATATGCCAATAACCGAGAGCCATCTGCCAGATCTATTAGACGATGATGATGATGATGATAATAATACACTCAGCTCGCTGTAGGGAATGCATTACACCAATACAGGAGAAAAAACACTGGAAACAAGATCAGCAATGTGTGTTTCTGGATTCCCACAGGTCATGGAACTCATGGAATATCATGGAATTTTAAAAGAGATTTAACAGACATTGAAAGTCAGGAAATTTCCTATTTTAAGCCTCGAAATATCAACAATATTATAATGTAGAGGTTTAATCATTTTAGAGATTACTTCCCATTTATCCAATGTAAATCACTACCACCACAAGTTTGGTGCTGTGACCTAATTTATTAGATCAGGGGTCACCCAGTCCTGTTTCTGGAGAGCTACCTTCCTGCAGAATTCAGTCGCAACCTTGAGCAATCAAACGTGTCTGTAGTTATCAAGTGCTGCTTCAGGTCTTACTTAAATGGTTCAGGTGTGTTTGATTTGGGTTGGAGCTGAATTCTGCAGGAAGGTAGATCTCCAGGAACAGGGTTGTGACCGCTGTATAAAGCCATGGTCACATTAGAGTTTGTTCTTGCAAAATAGCATAGTGAATTGCAAAACTTGCATTTCCAGTCTGCCACATTCGTTTGAATGGAAGTCTATGGGGTAAAAAAAAGTCCCGTGTGACCGCAGAAGAGGTCTGCATTTCCACGTCTGTACCCCGGGATGCGTCCAGATTTCAGCATGGGAATAAATTTCCATATAAAATGTGTTAGCTGTTGATAACTCTAATTTGAATGGGAGTATGTGCAATTTAAATGGAAGCGGGCGGTCTAACAATATAGCGCTCCCGAGTCCTGATATTATTCCGAAACAGCATATTTGTGATTTCCTCATTCTTATTGAGCACTGGTTCGGCCCACCCAGGACACCGCCACAGAGCGCCATCTGAATAGTTTCATTTTGAATGACATGCAAACGTGTGCGTCCTTGTGTTACTTTTAAAGTGTCATTTGCGCTGCGCTGAGCAGCGCATCCGGTGTGCTGACAGCCTCAGAAGACTAAAACCTCAGGTTTATATCAGCAGTTATGTATCATCTATTTAGCCCTACAATCCTTGCACAACCTGCAGTTTTATCTGTTGTTTCTCTCTTTTGATAGTAGATAGTCTGCTGTGTCGTAAGCCTATTGTTGCATTGCTGATCATGATTTTAAGGATCGATAGATCTGTCCTTCACAACATGCACAGCGATCTCAGATCAGTTCATTCAGACATTTTAATCTGATTCACTATATTGTTTGACAAACCAAATTAGCCAGAGATCAGTTATCAAGATTAAAAGACATACGAAGAACATACCCCTGGAGGTCCTTACAGGACGTTTGTAAACACTTGCTACAACGGGTTTGTGTGTCTCTCGGTCCCGCCCACACTCATCAGCGATACAAAGCAGAATAATCACAGAGCTTGTACTATGCGTCGTTACGATGTGTAGTTACATTTTTTGAGAGGTCAGTGTTAGTGTATAAATCAGATATCCCACACCTGGGGCCTCATGTACTAAGACTTGCGTGGAAATCATACTAAAACATTGCGTACGCACAAAGTTGTAAATGTGCGTACGCAGAAAAAAATTCAGATGTATGAAACACTGCGTACGCCGAATCTCACGCATATTCTTTTGTACATCTGAATGAACGTGAAACTGAGCGCAACATGCACGAGCACAAAACCCCTCCCTGCCTCCTCCCCCTTATGAATATGCAAATGACTCTACTTTGCCAAAACCCAACGAAAAAGCAATGGCAAAAGCAAGCAAGAAGAGAAACTTTGAACAGAATGTGAATTGTAGGTGCTCCTTTCAGAGGTAGACCGGAGAAAAGCGGTGTTATTTCCAAGTTTGTTCTCCGGAATTAACAACAAAAGAAAAGAATAGAGTGGGAGAGTTTAGCTGATGCGGTTAACACAGTTGGGTCTGAACATCGCACTGAGTGAATTAAAAAAGAAATAGTGTGGTTTATAGGTGTAAAATTTTGCAATACTCTCATCAGACTTGTGGCGCAGCTCGAAAAACGCATGTCAACATGTTTTGACACGTTCGAGCGTGAACTCGGTTCGAATCCAGCATCTGAAGAACTCTTTCTTCTTTTTGCCCCCGCTACATATCAGATTTTGCCAACTATTTATCAAGAGAAAGACAAGTAGGAATCATTAATAAGTGTGTGCATCATATTTTATTTGCACATTTATTGAATGGAAATGTTTCTGATTCACCCATGCAAATTCATCTTCAGATAGTGTATTTATAGCAATGTGCGTGCAGTAGATAGCTCAGATTACATTGGGAAAACAGGCGACCGCTGCAAATTGCGCTTTAATGTTTAGCTGGTCAACTGTATGGTATGGAAACCTTGTATACCTGCTAGATGAACCCGTCTCATACAGCTGCCATTGCAGGGCTCAGACACTTTGTAGAGAGGAATTTAACACAACTGCCTTTAGGAGTCGCCAATGGAAATAAAACAGACACGCACAAAAAATGTGCGTACGCCTGCCAGAAAGCTGCCGTGGAGCTGCGCACATTCCCACGTTCAGTTCATTGTTAGTAAATCCAAACGTGAGCGATTCTGAGCGTGAAATCTGGCGTACGCAAAGTTTTTGTGTGTACGCAGCGTTGAAACATGAGGCCCCTGATACGCAAATATAATGATGTTTAATATAAAGCAATGCAGATGCTGCGGAAATAATTGAAACATATGTTGAACATTTCTCTAGGCTTCTGCAGGAAATCTGTGCCTATAAAAAGCAAGTGTTTTAGGGTTACATTTGCTTGATTTTTGTTTTTAATTCAGGGATCGTAGAATCACAAAATTCCAGAGGGACTGCTCAACAAAACAACTGCCTGTTATTCATTTTTTTTTGTTTTATAGGTCATGGAGATGCAGGTTTTTAGTCGGGGAATCTGACATTTGGCTTGGAATGAGAACCCTGGTTCTCCTTCCTGCTAATCTTGTTTACTGCTCACACAGAGGCATCAGGCCAACTATTAAAGATCATACTCTTCTCCTACTCCTCCCTTTTTCACAGTTTCTTGCTAAAGTGTCAGCCGAGTGGAGCTCTAATGAAGCTTGTGTAATAAGAATCCCTGCTGTGCTTCATTACAGAGCAAAAGAGGCCGCAGGGCAGAGTGAGGATTCCGGACACATCCGCTTCTTCTCCTTCTCGCTGATCGAGGGCTACATCTCGCTAGTTATGGATGAGCAGACAACCCGGAGGTTAGACCACCCGACCAACACGCTATTAACGTCAACATGAAGACACAATTAACCCCATTTACTTTCCCAATACACACCCCTGCTGTTGTTTGTGTGTGTGATTCATCAGCGTATGTTATTATAGAGGGGTAAAGGGTTGTTTTTAATCTCTCATCAAATTATAATAACTAGCTAAATTGCACAAATGGCTTTCCTGTTTGACGTCAGCCACGATACTGTTTTCCAACTCATTTCCTCCAGCCACCTGTACCACATTTCAATTAGGGTATATTTAAAGCTAGGCTATTTTAGCGTTAAAATTTGTATCACAGTCGTTTTGCATAAACGTTGAAAACAAAATGTTCCTTGTCCTTTACGCTGTGTTTTTGAGAAGACTACAGACTCAGTACATTTACATCGATGCCAGTATTTTAGTTGGTGTACAATTAAGACAGCACTCTGATTAAGAGTCTACCATGTAAACAACAATTTTAATTACCTTAATCCTACTAAAGTCATAATCGTACTAAACAGAAATGAAGTTGAGACATGTGGAGTATGCCTATTTTAGTCGCATAATTGAAGTGCAGTACAGACATGTAAACACTGTGTTTTCAATAAAAGCAAAACTGTGCATATTATTATTACTATAAATTTATTACTGCCTTATAAATTTATTACTGCCAGTAACTTAGGCAGTAATGCAAAGTAGTAGTAAATAAGTGAACAAATAGCCTAAATGAAAGGAACAAGAGGGATCAAAATCAGTCACTAGGTCTAGTGCCCCTCCTATGGGATTAAAATGGCCCCTCAGTTATGATATCCTGGTTTCAGGGGCAGGTGAGAATATTTAGTTTCAATAAAAAAATATGTTTATTGAAGATGCATGACAGTTTGGTGGATTTAGAACAACATTACAGTCAGTAAACCATGATGGGTTGTCATGAAGTGGAGTGATTAACCTTAACCTTTGTGGATTGTTTCATTAGACTTACATTTTTAAGTCTGTTGTTTTGTTATCAGTGCATGTGATTTACATGTTGTTCTTTTATTTGTCAGGTTTCCAAACAACGTCCTCTTCACCAGCGCATCAGGAGAGCTTTGGAAAATGGTCCGCATCGGAGGACAACCATTAGGGTTCGGTGAGTTCAGCCTGAGCTGTTAATATGACGATGAAAATCCCAAGCACTTTCTTGGAAGTAGAGTTCGGGGTTGTTTCTTTAGGTCCAGAACTAGAACCCAGAACACATAAGCAAAGTGATTAAAAGCTAAACCATGGACCTTTTTTCTTGCTATATTTTCTTTTGTAATCTGTTGAGTACTGTATATGAACAATTATGCTGTTAAAAAAATAATAAAAAACTAAACCATAATCAGGACTAACCATGGTGGCACTTAAATTTAGTTTTCTGGTATAGCTTGAAGTTGAAGGTGTAGCAGATCATAAGACTCGTGGTTTGTAGGCATAGCTGTTTAAGAGTTCAGTACATGGAAATGACTGATAGCAGTTGAAGTCAGAATTATTAGCCCACTTGAATTATCAGACCGCTTGTTTATTTTTTCCTCAATTTCTGTTTAACGGAGAGAAAATTATTTCAACACATTTGTAAACATAATAGTTTTAATAACTCATCTCTAATAACTGATTTATTTTATCTTTGCCATGATGACAGTAAATAATATTTGACTAGATATTTTTCAAGACACTTCTATACAGCTTAAAGTGACATTTAAAGACTTAACTAGGTTAATTAGGTTAACTAGGCAGGTTAGGGTAATTAGGCAAGTTATTGTATAACGATGGTTTGTTTTGTAGATTATCGAGAAAAAAATATAGCTTAAAGGGGCTAATCATTTTATCCCTAAAATGATGTTTAAAAAATTAATAACTGCATCTAATCTAGCCGGAAAAAAAGAAATAAGACTTTCTTCAGAAAAAAAATATTATCAGACATACTGTGTGAACAATTTTCTTGCTCTGTTAAACATCGTTTGCAAAATATTAAAAAAAGAAGAAAAAAATTTGAAGGGGGCTAATAATTCTGACTTCAACTGTATATACACCGTTGTTTCCTTGTTCTCGTGTGCAAAATCCCAGTCAAAAAGAGGCCAACCAGAACAAGAAGCCCACTCTGACAATCCAAAAGAGATCATTCATATGCACACCCCAGACATTGTTTGATTAGCCAAGTCTGTAAATGAGATTACAGCAAAGATCATTTTCCCCTTATTTTTACGTTTATCTAAGCTTTTATAATACTTAGCATTTATGTGGGACTCTTATTTTGGAAATGAGACCATGATAATGCATTATAAAGCTCTCAGGTAACCAACCATCCTAATCTCATAACTGTTTATTGTCAAAACCCAGATTCTTTCTGTGTTACTGTATATTTTTTGTTAGGTTAACGCAGGGGTGTCAAACTGTGCACAGTTTAGTTCCAATCCTGATTAAGCACACCTGATCACAGTATTCTAGTCCTCCAGATTTGTTTAAAACCTACTGCAGGTAAGTGTGTTAAAGCAGGATTGGAACTAAACTGTGCAGACACCCCTGGATTAACGTATATATTGTGAAATGAAAGTATGTTTGTAATGAGGCTACACGCATGTAGATTGTTGAATATAAGAGTTTAATGCATCATGTCATACCACTCAGCTCATTTTTCTGGAGTACGCCAATAAAATCATTTGTTAATGCAGAGGGGGATATTAAAGTGATTGTTCACCCTAAAAAAATGAAAACACTGTCATCTACTCAACCTTGACTTGTTCCGAACCGGTTTTTAGTTTTTGTTTTTCCTGCTCTGGATGTCAGTGGTTACAGGCAGTCAACATTTTCAAAACATCTACTTCTGTGATTAAAAAGAAAACTGGTTTAGAACAAGTCAAAGATGAATGAATAAATAAGAACATAATCCTTACAACCATTACAAATATGGTCAAACCTGAGCTTTTCTATCTAGAGATTCATTCAACCTATAAATGAGCATATAAAACTGGAGAATTTGTGCACTTGCCTAACAGGCCTGTTGCCAGCCTGGTGAAAAGGGTGGTTTGTTTATGGTTATTTGCTGTTTAATTATGATGTTCAAATACTTCATTTAGGGACAATAATTATTGCAGATGGACATCAAAACCACAATATTTATGCAAGGCAAGTTTATTTATATAGCAGATTTTATACATTATGGTAATTCAAAGTCAAAGGAAATAAATAAAAAAATTCTTTAACATTTATTATTTATTTATTTAACAAACTTTAAAAATACTATTTTTATTACATCATATGTCATTAGCAAAAAAATTGTAGCCTATTGTCATTTATTAGGCAAATAAGAAACTGGCCAGCACATTCAACTATCCTCTGAATGTGGCCATTTGAATAGAGAAACAATTACAACAAGAGCTGCACCATATATAATTTCAGCTTTAATATCACAATGGAAATATTTGCAATACAATGACTGTGCAACGTTGAGTCTGTATTATAACTGATCACTTTGCAAGTGTTTTAAAAGCATTCAAGCTTAAGAAATGATACCATTTGTAACTTCGACAAATTAATAACTATTCATTTTATAGAACGGTTTATAAAACTAAAGGCTGATTTATACTTCTGCGTCAGACGCTGGCGTATGCTACGGCGCTGACGCATAGCCCTTCGCCGTGGCCGTCGGCGTTGCTGACGTGCACCTCAAAAAATGTAACTACACATCGCAACGACGCGTATCGCAAGCTCTGTGATTGGTCACCTTGGTCGTGCTGACGAGTCTGGGCGGGACCGAGAGCTGTGTGAATGGTGCGAGCCTGATGGAGCGATGGAGCGATTGTTTACAAGTGTGGAGTGCCGTGAAGGAGCTCCGGATGGAAAGTTTTGTTTTGTGTTTACCTCATAGTTAAAGTTGTTGCACGTCCACCGGTTCCTGCCTCAAAATGAGCGAGTTTGAGCCACTTGTACATCCCGGAAGTGTTCAGGAAAAGCAATACAGCAGCGAATAAACTCGGAAAATTTACCAACAGAGACAGCGCGCAGAAGTATAAATGCACTGCTACGCGCGTTGCATGCGCCGTGGGTTACGCCGGTCACTTGACGCAGATGTATAAACCAGGTTTAAGACTATGCAGTATTATTTTACATTTGACAATACGTTTGACTCAGTTTCAACTAGTGACATTGTATTCATATTGCAATATATATTGCAGAATAAAAGAACATGGCAGTGCTAGATTTTTCCAATATTGTGCAGCCCAAATTAAAACATAATAATTTAAAGCTTCACCATTTTTTCTAGCCTCTCTTGAAAAAAGTACATTTGAAAATAAATGGATAACGACAGCCTAATTAGTATTCAAATTAACTTTAATATGGGCCACTTTTTGTGCTTCACGCCTTTTCCTTGGTCAATAATTATTTCATGAATTTGGTCCAAGATTTAGAATAAAAGTTTCTTGTTTTTTTTTTTTTTTTTCGTATTTAGGGACATTTTATGCACTATTTTTTAGCTAATTAGTATCATAATCACAATTTTTAATTAACCAAAAATATTTCCTTAAGATTTAAAATAATGAAATGTGCAATAAAAACAAACAAAAAAAAACTTTTTTTAAAAAGACAATTTTATTACATCATATGTCATTAACACAAAATCATGGATAGGTCAGTAAAAGTTGACTTCATTGACGTCATATTCTGGGTGGTCTTGAAGCCTTCTATGGGTTATTTCCACAATTTATGATGGCATAGCAGTCAAAATACGACAAATGAGCTCATGTATGGGACAAATTGTGGACCTTTGACAGTGGGTCTTTTCAACCACCCGAACCTCCCTGACTAACACCCAAACTGCCTGCTTAAGCCACATACCTACCATATCGATACAAGAGAACAATTGAACTATGTTTCTTTCCAAAGATGTGAATTAAACCTGTGTGCAAAACTGGATTATAGTATAAGAGATGTGCAAATAAAGCAGCTTTTCCATCCAATGAGTCAAAGAGAACAAAATCATCACTTCCTGATTATCTGGCGCCAAATATCACCAGTAAAAAACTGAATTTGCTGCAGGAGAAGCTGCATCAATCTTTTCTTTATTTATTAAATAACTTGGGCCTCAGCAGACAATCCTGACACACAGTGAGCATTTGGTGGCTTTTGAAGGCCAATTCTGGAGGTCATTAATAATATAATAACACTAATACTGAAATGCTTAAGGACCAAAACAACATTCCAAATGTTTTATTATGTGCTCAGCATGTTGATTTGTTTATTCACGTGAGTTTTTTGATCACATGACCATTTTATAATCTGCATACTGGAATTTGTTCGGTTAAAGTGTTTCCATTGTGGTTTATGCACATCTTATCAAATAAAAGGTTATTCTATTCCATTATATACGATTCTTATTGCACAGTTTCCAAATTGATGTGCATCTTGGTGTTTCCATCATCAGATTTTTTTGTTTTTATGCGCATGTCCAAAATGTGCATAAAAATAGGTGGATGAAAACGTAGCTATTGAATCAATGCACTTACACTTGGGAAATAAACTAAATGAAAGCATGTGCATTTTAATTCCTAACAAAAGCTGTTTGTTTTCTAACAGATGAATGTGGCATTGTGGCTCAGATATCTGAACCGCTGGCGACCGCTGACATTCCAGCCTATTATATCAGTACCTTCAAGTTTGATCACGCTCTGGTGAGTTTCAGCGTACACATATGACCACCGCAGCTGACCCCTTCCAATATCTATCTTCTTTTGTAGTGTCATCTGGAGAATCTGATTCTATTTTTTTCTAACCATCTTGTGTTCACCCAGGTTCCTGAGGAAAACATCCAGAGCGTGATCGGAGCCTTGAGGACCAACGAGAGCACAGGACAGTGAAAAAGCATTCACGTCCCAGAAAAACATTTAGGTTTCTAATGTCAAAATTTCTTAAAGTGCCAAGAGCTTACCTGAGGACTGCTTCTGGGGGGTGGTGAAGGGAGATGGATCTGAAGGGGCGGGCTTTCTAGGCTTGCAGTCAGTATTGAGCAACATCACTTCCTGTCCATTTCCTGCAAACAAACGAAAATATCCCGAATCCACAGAGGGTGTGAATCCAGTGTTTGTTCTCTTCTTTCTTCTGCTCATCCACTCCTCCTCTGCAGCAGCACATCATTTTATCATGCAGGGCAACAGGGCCTGGACTTGACTAACCGTGATGTATTAGCGGCAGGTGCTCCTCCTAGAGGACGCAGAATGTACTCCAATGTTTCCCCCTCCTCACCCCCTCTCTTTTCCTTGCAGTGCCAAGACATGGAGCATAAACAGACTGCTTGTCTAAAACGGGATGTTTTTTGAGATGTGATTTGATGGTTCATGGGTTGTTTTTAGAAATTGTTTAGTCATAAGATCAGCCTCTGAACGAAGCTTGTCATGCTCATTTGGAAAGTTTCCCTCCTATTTTTTTGTTTCGTCTTACCTCAATCCTATATTCACTCTTCAATGCCAAGTGGTCATGAATTAGTTGTTTTGGCCTTCAAAGTACAATCAATGTTTTAGATATTTTCATTTCCGTTCACTTCAGACCAACTTGGCTGTGATTGTGCGCTGAGGATTCAGGTGAGGTGAAACTATCCTACACTTTGTTCAGGTTGTAGTCCACGGATCGTGCAGTTTACTGTATCATGTTTTTAAACGCTCATTGTTTTGTTTTTTTATTTCACCACTATTTGCTCTTTGAGTATTTGGTGAAGCTGTCTCGGAGGAGACCGTCGGGGGAATTGAGTTGGTTTGTTGAATGTTAGAGACTGGCGTCAGTTTAGGCCTTCAAGCTCCCCCTCGTCTGCACTTTATTTAAGGTCTATCCTACAGATCTTACTCTTCTGATGTGAATACCGGGGATGAGTATCGTCCTCTTTGAAGGACAGGACACTTGTTGCTTTTTACACAGGAATGGGTGTCTTATCATTTATTTTTTTTCCACAGGCTTTTTTTTTTTCTGTCAGCTCTGAAGCATATATTTATCAGTGTTAAGAAAGGGGTGATGTATTTGTTCTGACAATTAAAGAGGTGAAATGATGTATCTATTTTTTTCTGCTTAGTTTGTGTTTAGGTTTGAGTTTTAGTCTTTGTTATTTCCACTGTTGAACTGTTTTCTGCAATGTACAATGGGGGTTTACACCATGTGACTGCTAGAACATGTGCCAATTGCAAATTCATGAAGACATTTAGTGATTTTATAAATGATTTCTGACTGCATATGGAAGTGACTGATTTGAAGAATTTGTTTCATTAAGCTGAGTGATTTACGAGTTCGAGCAGTCCATTTTGGACTGCGTATCTGCAGCAGAACATGTTCTGTCAGACAGAGCTGTTGATGTTGAAAGTACTAAAAAATCGTACCGAGACCTGCTTGAAGAGGTGCTCTCGGTACGCTTTCAAACGACCCTGGAGTGGTTCGTTTATGGTAAATGTGATCCATACTAAAACAGACCCAACCACAAAAAGTACTGTGCCTTGTGGACTAATCCAGCTGCTGTAGTCTGATGTGCTGTGCATTCTGGGATATGGAGGAAAAATATTTGTTGACAGCGCTTTATCAACAGAAAGAGAGAGAGGGAAAACATTACCTGATGGATCGGTGGTAATACTTCTGCAAGATGACCATGTCACAGTTTAGCTAAAATTCACGCCTCCTGAAGTGACGTGCGATGCAAAACATTGTTTTCCAGCCCTCAGCTTTGCTTCCTTCTCGAAATGTATAGTCTGTCTAAAGTGATCTATGCAAACTATATAGTATACTATCCGCTTGTTAAGTGTGACTTCACGCGGAGCGGCTTCCGGGTCCAAGCACTCTATTCAACTGAATGGGGAGACTCATGAAATGGTAATAATAAACATTTACAAAGCGATTTAAGACTTGGATGATTTAGATCGCAGTATATATGTTCATGCCTAATATCCGATGGCCAGAAAGTGATTAATTTTTTTTATAAATTGTTAAATTTTTGGTATTTGTTATGCAGCAAGCCCAGAGATTGTTGTGTACACTATGACTTTATGTATAATTAACTTTAATGTGTGATAGGAATAAAAAGTGATCATTAACGAATGATTTTCCACTCAAGTGAATGGCGGCTTGGACTCGGAAACAGTATTACATACGTCACAAACACGTCACCACTTAACAAGCGGATTAGCAGGGATTCAATCTGTCAGCACTCAGTCACAATATATAAAAAGTGACATTTTGTGACTGACTTGTGTTTACTTGTGGAAGTTCTTTGGCATTTTCCTGCACGTGAATTCTGACCAATCGATAAGCAGTTTAGGAATTATCTTCAACAACATCTGGCCAATGGGAGATGTGGATTTTGTCAGATGAGTGCATTTTGGTTCTTTTCATCTGGTTCGGACCAAAGCCAGCGGTGAGGTGTGAAAACGACCCAAAGACGGCAGAAAATGCAACAATGTATCATTTATTTCCCTTGAAACACAAAATGAAGCAAATTACAGATGTGCAAGCACCCTTACAGAGGTGCCTTTAGTCCAAATCTGTGCAAAAATAATAATAGCTGACATAAAGGACAAGATTTCCTAGAACAGTCTTATATGAGGGATTTGACCAGCGCCACCATGTGGTCAACACCGCAGGCAACATCAGTCACATGGCCTGGTACAGTCACCTAAAATACAAGGATTAGTATTAAAATAAAACTTTTAATGTACTTCAGTGGCATGTACACATATATATACACACACAAAAGTCAGAATTATTGGTTAATTAGGCAAGTTATTGTAAAACAATGCAGTTCTGCAAATAAAGTAAATAAATAAAGCTTAAAGTGCCTAATAATTTTGACCCAAAAATGTTTTTTTTTTTTTAAATTAAAAGCTGCTTTTCTTCTACCTGAAATAAAACAAATAAGACTTTGTCCAAAAGAAAAAATATTATCAGACATATTGTGAAAATTTCCTTGCTCCATTAAACATAAATTGGGAAATATTCAAAAAAAAAATTTAAAAAAGAAAAAGTCAAAGGGAGGCTAATAATTCTGACTTTAACTGCGTGTCTGTGCGGGTGTGCACACACACACACAACCCAACTGTCAAGGCATGCAACATTGTTGACTCCTTACCCTCCATGGAAAATACTGGTCATCATGTTTCCCAATGCCGAGACATCCTCGCACATTCTTACCCCAAACAAACAGCTCACCTCCATCTGAAAACAATATTCATGTAGAAATAACTCAGCCTCTCTCTGCGGGCAGTTGGCCAGGAAACAGGCTGGATTTAATACCAACACGGTTATGCAAGCATGTCGAGCAGGTGTTTTGAAGAGAATATCAGCACATCCACAAGAGACTATATGGAAGAATCTCATGTATGAAATGTGTTTTAGTGTCAATGTATGAACAGCTAAGCAAAGCTTTAAAAACAAGACCTTCCCCAACTTCTAAAGTTAAAAAACAATTAGTTGTATGTAACTGACTTGCAGTTTTAAAAGAGAGTCAGACATACGCACACTCCCTCTTTTCAGTTTTATGATGCAATAAATTGTACAGATAATGGAGAAAGAACTATTCAGCACTGAAATGAAATGGGGGCTGTTGAATCTGATTGGCTGATGAACATTTTAATGTGTAATTATTTTCAGATAACTTACAGCTAAACGAAGAGCGCAGTGAATAGGAGATTACCATAAATTAATTACATAAAGTACCATAAAGTAATTCATTTTGTCATTTGATGGAAACATGATATAATACAAAGTATAGACTTGATTTAAGCATACACCTTTTGAAAAATCTAAATATTAAAGCAAAAAAAATTACGTTTACCTGTGACAGCAGCAAAGTGACTGAGTCCACAGCGGATGGACGCAACCTTCACTGTAGGGTTGAACTCTGACCTTCCAAAAAATGTGGCTGGCACTCTTTCTGGAATGGCAGACTCTGAAAGTTTGGGTCCTTTCCCCAGAATTCCAAAACCCCAAACAAACACATCTCCATCCTCTGCAGAGACAGAGAGACATAGTTACTGATCATTGAGTCTCATATTGTTCTTTTCATGATCTTAATTCATAAAGTTTCTATTTTTATGATGTGAGCAATACATTCAAACCTTGGTATTTGAGTGAGATAGAGCAGTTATCGATGCTTAAGGAAACATCAGATGGAAAGATCTGAATGATGACATTCCATATCAGCAATTGCAGGCTTCAGTTTACAGTCACATTTTTCATTGAATTGTTTGTTCATGTGATTCTTCAAAAATGCTGATTCATTCATCCAGGAACAAACCATGAAAACAAAAATGTTCAGTATTTATGTATGAGGCGCCGTGTAGGGTTTATATCAAACTTTGCTTATCACATAAAATTAGTGCATACACAGCTATAAATTACTCACATATACACCTATACTACTGGATGTTCAAAACAGCATATATGAAACTTGAGAATATACACTATAAACTCAATATATGTATATGCACCTATAACTCTCACATTTGAATGTAAACTCGATGTTTGCATAAACACCCAAAAAACATACAAAATAAAACTCACAAACATATATACAAGTAGTTGTGTATATACACATTTGCAAGTGATTTCATATGTGTATATGCATGAATTCTCAGTGTGAAAGGAAGTCATTTCTGTTTAAAAGGAAGTAGTTTAATTTCCGCGTAAAAGTCCTTTGAGCATGTAAATAAACAAAATTATCAAAGCTTAGGAAACAGAAATAATGCGATTGATAGAGGAATTAGATCTGTAGAATAATGAAAATAGATTATGCTTATTATAAAAATATATATATATATAAAAATAACGCTAAGGAATGCTCCAGCAAAATTCAAGGCTTATTATGCAATTCCATTAATGTGTTTTTTAATCCATGTTTTATGTACTTGACAAGCAAAGCTTGATTTAAATCCTACACAACGCCTCATATTTATCTATACAGCACACACCGGCCACTTTATTAATATATAGCACCAGGTTGCCCTAATCCTTAGATTCAACAAGATACTGAAAATATTCCTCAAAGATTTTGGTCAATTTGCTCTTCTGAACTTTGGCATAAACAAGGCATTAGTGTCTGCAGAACTGGATATTTTCTCTTTTTCAGACCATTCTCTGTAAGCCCTAGAGATGGTTGTGCGTGAAAATCCCAGTAGATCAGCAGTTTATGAAATATTCAGACCAGCCCGTCTGGCACCAACAACCATGCCACGTTCAAAGTCCCTACAACCACCTTTCTTCCCCATTCTGTTGCTCGGTTTGAACTGCAGCAGATCATCTTGATCATGTCTACATGCCTAAATGCATTGAGTTGCTGCCATGTCTGATTAGAAATTATGACAGGTGTACCTAATAAAGTGGCCAGTGAGTACATATACATACACACATTTATATACGCACACACTTATGTGGGTAAAATTTACAGCACTGTAAAGAACTTCTAAAATATTGATGATGTTTTCAATTAATACTGATTTTTTTAAAGTCTTTAAGACACTAAATCCAAGGAAGTCTGCATCAGTTGCAATCATTAGACTTTGATGATTTAAAATACAATAAAAACATATTTTAGTAACTTATTTAATTATACAGGCAACTCACACATTTTGAGGCACTAAAATAATATACAAAATATTTATTGTGTATTTTTCATTTATATATTTCATACATAAGTTGACAGTTCCAACTCAACTAATATTATCTAACAACCATTATATTTCTTAACAACAAAAAAATAAGTCCAGCTGTTTTTATTATTTCAGGTCCATTATTCAATATAAACATGTACAAGTTGTAGAAATTAATGATAATACCTGATAACCTGGTAACATTAACACCCGCCAAATGCAGGTAGATTTCAGCTTTGGCGGGTTAGACAGTCACTCCCACTAGCCACTTTGGCTGGTTGAAAATAATTTTTAAATTGTAGTTCTCCTTAAAGCTATAAGAATGACCCGATATGCATGCAAATGTGATCTTACAATCGAGAAACAGCACGACCAACAAAAAAAATTGCGTACGCACGAGCAGAAGAAAGCAGATGAATACCAAATGAGAGGATGAACACTCGCGCTAACAGCTGATGTGATGCGCGCGAATGTTTAAAGCGCGTGCGCGCACCTGTTTCCTTGCTTGAAGCAACCGTGCCTGGAACGCAACTGTGACCAGTTCTTCTTCTTATAGACCAGACAAAAAGTTATGCTAATGCATCCACAGTCTTGCTGCTTTCAAGAGCTCTAAATGTGTCTTTTTGTAAGCAGAACCAGTTGCTTTCGCTTTGAACAGATTATAACCATGCTATCATCCTTTCATTATCACACACAGTATGTTTTAACCTGCTTTCTTTTGCTTATGGTTATTTTTGTTTACATGGTGTAATTATCATTTTTTTTACAACAATATTGCTTTAATATGAGATTAACTCAGTTTACTTACAGTATGATCTGAGAGACCTTGAGCGAGGACAGCTTACTGTGCATATGTTTGATACATGACAATAGTTATTTTAAAAGTCAATTGTTTTTCTTAGTTTTTTTTTTTCTTAAGAAATGTTAAATGCAAAGTATAGCATACAGCTATATTTAGCTTGTTTTGACACGTTTAAAATGTGTGGCTAAGAAATAATTATTGTTTGGTGTGGTTATAGAGATAAATTTGGTAAATCCCTAATTTTGTGACGTGAAATAAAAACTAATTGCAGTATAACACTGACACCATGACCCATATGCTCATACACGACATGCAAAACGTGAAATGAATGAGAAGGCATGTGGACAAAACACAAAATCTAAATCAAATAATTTTAGCATGTTAAAGTCATATTTATGCATATAAAAAATGTTTTCCCAACGACAAAATTGTGGCTAGTAGTGATGGGAAGTTCGGATCATTTTACTGACTCGGATCTTTGAGTCTCGTTCATCAAGATGAACGAATCTTTTTTCGAGTCATTTCGTTCATTTGGTTCAATTTGCCAAAATATCATTAAAACAAATTGCTTCGAAACACATCTACAACTAGCCCAAAAGGTTGCTCACACGACAAATAAATCATAAATAGAATATTATAAGAAGCAGAAAATAATAATTCAATGTTTACCTGCTCTTTTCTCTATGAAGGCATTTTTGTCTCTTTGCTCAGCTCACCTCTTCATGTCTTCAAATGTCAGGGGTTCATTCACGTTATACTAACAGCCACATATAATCTTAATCAATGCACAGTCTAAGCCAATAGGAGCCATGATCGTTCGTTCATCACGTGACAGAATGACTCAAACGCGAGGACTCGAGAGATGAACGGATCAATTCTTTTTCCGGCTCTAAACGCGTATGATTGGCCCGTGATGAACGAGTGACTCAGATCCGATAGAGGACTCGAGAGGAGAGCGGATCAATTCTTTTTCCGGCTCTAAATGCATATAATTGGCTTTTGTCAATGTGATGAAGACTTGAAATTAACGATACTACCTGCACAAATGTGTGCACAAGCAGATAGACGAATCACTCCCTGAGAGGACTCGTAGTTCCTGAGTCATATTGAAGATTTGTTCAATATGAACGAATCATTCATGAACGACCCATCACTAGTGGCTAGTAACATTGAAAAACTACTAGCCACTGTCGCTGGTGATCAAAAAAAAGTTAATGTCAAGCCCTGTTTAAAATCATTTAGATGCATTTTTCATTAACATAACCAATGTATCTGAAAAACCCCTTAATTAAAGTGTATCCATAATACTGTATAGACTTTTTTATTTAATATTGTAACAATGCATTTGAAACCTCAGAGGTTTCTCTAATAAAAAAAACTAATAATAATAATAATCTTTAATGTATAATAATATACAGGTGTAACATTCTCTGCTCATTTTTAGAAATATTCACAGCATTTATATATCAATATAGAGACAACAATAGAGTATCATATCAGTAACTGAAATAAGCTGAATGGATGCCCAGCAGTAAATATAAAAACTGAACTGAATCTTAGATCCTTGACTACCTTCCTTCTCTCTGTACAACCGTAAAACACTCTTGTAAAATGTGTGATATTTGTATATTTTGGGACAGCTCTATAAATAAAACAGAACTGGAATTCCTGATTATGTCATGGTGTTGTGGTAGAACTGCCAAAAGTCTCTGATCTTACCGTTGAGCACAGCCACCTGTGTTCCTCCACATGCTGCCTGTCTGATTCGACCCACACCCTTCAGCGGCAGCAGACGAGGAGAGCTGATCTGAAAACATGAGGTAAAAAATGTAGGGAAATGACTCTTTTTAGGAATGGACATCATCGGTTCACTATATTCAGCGAGTGAGGTAGGGTCTGGAGTAACTCTACCACTCCACAAGGTGCACAAACTTAGCAAGCCTCTCTAAAAAAAGAGGAATCCAGCCCTGCTTGTCATTAAACAGATACTTTTTCAAATAATACAAACACATTTCAGCTTAAAAGCCTTCCTGTGCACATAAAACACATCATACAAAAGGCATTTTAATAGGTACATCTTCACCTTGGATCACCCATTCACAAATTACAACACCTGAAAATACATTATGTCTTTGTATGGTGTGATGAAGCTGACACACTGGATTGATTTTGGAATTAGTCACTGCTGTGTGTTGATAGAAGCCCCGGTCTTGCTGGTGCTTAATAGACAAAACAGATGACATTGTGTTTATAATCTAAAATTATTCTAGTTTAACTTGACAAAAACTTTTTTAACTAATTTAATTTGACAAAAACAGCATTCATGTGATGCAGAAAAACAAAAAACAGTGAAAATGTATGTTTTTTCCATGCCACTTTCAGCACATTTTGGTTTTACCACAATTCTATTTTAGTTTTAGGCTGTCTGTGCAGGTAATCCCATACTACCTCTGTAATATTCAGGTCTGGACCCTGTAGAGGCCATTTCATGACTCTGTTTTGTGGCGCTGCTTTCTCTCCAAATATGATTTCAGTATGTTATGTGTGTTTGGGAATAATGAAAAATAGAACCACTGTCACTAGGTGGGATTCAATCGCCCTCTCAAGTGTAGCATGAGAAATAAGTGATAGAAACACAGACTTTTGAATAAAATCCTCAAAATTATTTAATCCATTAAATCAAAACTGAAAACAAATCTGTTTAGCTGTGCCTTTACAGAATAAGCACTGTGCTACGTACATAAGATCGCATTGTTACGTCTTTCTTTTCTCTTTCATTTCTTTAAAACCAAGCGGCAACCTCCCGTTCTCCATTGTGAAGCCAATACAGAAGTAACTGAAACTGCAATTCATCGAAATTCTGCTAGTCCTGGCTCCATAATAGAGCAGATTTCTATTGAGCCCACTGTTAAAACGGTCAACTTTACAGCAGAAAAAAAAAGGTGTTTACAAAGAACAATTTTGGTTCATATAGCTAATATTCCTGTGAGGGGGGTGATTTTTTTTAACTCATCTGTTTTGTTTATATTAAGTTATATTAAGTTTGCATAATTAAGGGCGTGGCCACTTGAGTGACAGCTAGGTCTCGCTGTCACCTTCACCTTATTCTGGCTGATTAGCTGCTGAACTCGACATATACATCTGAGGTCGCGTTAGACTTTCTCATTGTCCGTCATTTTGACAGAGGGTTGTAAAAATTTCATCATAACCTATTATTGCTCGTTATTTAATAAGCATATTTTTAATAGTTTTTTTCATTCATATTTTAATAATGAACTTGCACGACGAGCATATAGGCTAAATTATTCATTTACTTATTTGACAAATGAACAAAAACTCCTATCTGCCTTAACTCCTATCTTCCTTCTGCGTTGACCTGAACTGGGTGCTTGCCTGTGCGTAATCAAACGCATCAAGGGAGACTGATGCAGAGGCAGTTGTCATTAAATTCTGTGTCTTTGCCTCGGAAAGTCGACTTCTCGTGACCGGAATTACTAGTCCAGCGTTTTGTAGTTAGGAAACATTTCTCCTAAGGCTGTGATCAATACTAAGTTGGCTGGATTCTCTAAATGTGGGATTTCCCGATCCTGCAAGCACTCGTTTCACTGGGAAAAAATACTACAGCGCGCGCTTTTTCTGCACCCCTCTGCATCCGGTAGTGCTCACAACGCACTCAAAAGCACCTGACCTGCTTGCTGCCGCTTGGTTAGCTCTTAACAGCTATCGGCGACTGAGGATTTTTGTCTGTTTGTTCTTCATCGTCCACTGCATCACTTCCTCTTTTTTTAACCTTTATTTTTAATATCACAACTATTTGGCGGTTCAAAGAAAATTCTCAAACTCAGCTGCTGTGACATTTTTCCAACTGTGAGCAGCGGTGACAAAGAGGAGACAAAACAAGAACAATCGCCATCAGCTGGAGAGGAGTGGGAATTACAATTAGCTACAAATTACAATAGATCACCCTCAGCATAATCCATCAAAATGACGGATCACCTTCAGATTTTTCCGTCACTGCTGAAAAAAAAAACGTCAATGACGGAAAATATTCGGTTAACGCGACCTCTGATATACATCATATTTTTGTGTTGTTTTATGTGCACTTAATTGTGCTCACAAACCATTCACGTAGCCTCCAGTGAAATTATATACTTTTACTATATCTGTAAATGTATTTATTTTATTTAAGATCATTTATCATTTATTTTTTTCTTTAGACCTGTAAAGCACTTCAGAATCTGACAGATTGATTAGCTGTAAGCTCTAGAACAGTCCTCTGAGGTGTTGTCATACAGTGTTATGCCTGGATTTCATCAATAGTCTTGGATTTACTAACACAGACTGTTATTAAAGTGTAATTTGCGTTTTCCTCCAGTAGAAAAACGTCATAAGAACAAAGGTTAGTGGCTCAATGTATTACGACGGTGTTTTTAAAAGTTAACAACCAAGCACAAGTGGTCAGAACACAAATGAGTCGCAGGTAATGAAGTATTAAGCGTTTCCCTCAAAGAAAAGCCCGTCTAAGCAAAATGCTAGCTGGCGTCTGTAGCTCTGCTCACTTTGCCCTTATTTGGTATCTCCCTGTTGGAGCGATAATGCGCAAACAAAATGGCGCCGGTCGGCCACGCCCACGCGCTTCATTTGCGCCCTTCAGAAACCTATGGGTGACGTCACGGATACTACGCCCATATCTTTTACAGTCTGTGTTTAACACATTTTAATCTGTTCTATCTACTTTTAATGATTTTTATTCTCTGTTGTTTTTTTTTTTTCTTTTAAGCACTTCAAATTACCATTGTGTATGAAATGTGCTATATAAATAAACTTGCCTTGCCCTGCTTTGTCCTGCTTTGCCCTAATTTGCCAAAAAAATTAAAAAATACGTTTTACGCTTTGGGTTTGTTTTGGACCAAACAGGGTTAACGCAAATAATGGAAGATGGAAACACATTTGCCAAATAAACTCTAACATAGCTGTCATTACACCCATGTACACCATAGCTGCGTCCCAAATTGCATACTTATGCACTATTCTACGCCATTTTATAGTATAAATAGTGTAAGTAGTGCGTTCACACTGAAAACTTTAAAAATTATAAGTGCACTTTAATTACCCGGATGATGCCCTCATTCAGCTGCTAAAATGAAGTGTGTAATGATGGACACTTCACGCACTCAACGACCGCAAGTTTACTTACGTAGTGGAAGGGGCGGAGCTATCGGACGCACATGTTGAACAACTTTATTTATTTTGGATGGTGAAAGCAAAATTCTCCTACGAGAGTGATTATAGCACCTCCCGATGGTAAATGCGGCAATACTCACTGCAGGTATTATTTAATAATTAGGTCGTTTATTTCACTGATTTGGCAACCGTCAAACGTCATCAGGGACACGGTTTGAATTTCCACTTAGTAAAAAAAACATTAGTGTGCCATTTAGGACGCCACAACAAACATATACTATCCTGTTGAGTGTGTAAGTGCATAAGTACATAGTGCATGAGTGCATAGTGTGCCATTTTGGACGCAGCTCATGTCTCCATTATACTTGCTTCATTCGACAGTCTACTACAGTCAACCGCTCTAACAACTTGATGGATATGCAACTAATTCACATTTGGGATTTTTCCTTGGCAAATGTACTTCACGTTAGAATAGAGACCCTGGTTCAAACCTCAAACCAGGATTGAGCCACCAACAAGTTTCACTGAAGCCAGCAAGCACTCGTTCATCATTCATCATCTCTTTTACTTTTCTATTTCGCATACAAAAATCAGACCAAAAAATAAAAACAATCTAACTCTAACCTGTAAATTCAAGTTGTATTGTAATAAAGTCAATGAGAAATAGCTTTATATAGTGGGATTATAACCTAATTAACAAAACAAGAAACGTAATGGTGGCTTAAATATTGTGTATGTGAGGCAGATAATTCTATGACAGTGAACAGTTCCTTCAATCATCCCTGTGTTCTGCTCATCTTTACCTGTGTGGACTCGGTGACAGAAGCCAGCTGGAGGTACTCAGAATTCCCCCACCCGAAAACCTGGCCATCTGTGGACACTGCCAGACTGCAGTCTCCATACGTGGCCACCTGCTGAACTGTGACCCCAGCCAGATCTCCACCTACAGGCACTGGACACGAGGCCTTGTTATGATGACCCAGACCTGAAAATAAGAGATGCATTAAAACACTGTGGGAAGGGTCACATGGTTGCAGCTATGAGTCACAGACTGTTGTCACAATAGATTTTTTCTGGAAAACACCTTTAGGCTGATTTCATAATGCTGTAGAACAAAAAGCGAGACGGAGAGAAAAGAGGTAATGACAGACGGAGGCTGAACCAAACCTGTTTGTCCATCTGCCCCCCACCCACAGGCAAACACAGAGCCTCTGTCTGTCAGAAACAGACTGTGGTCCTGTCCACAAGCCACCTACAGGACGACAGGAGAAAAACGGCTCAAGACAATCTCACAAAGACAAGACCAAAAAGCGTAACCTAGAAGGGGTCATACTAAATAAAAAACGAATTAAAAAATGGGCAACACTTAATAATAACTGCACACTATGAATCATTTATTAAGCATTAGCATCTAGTGAATTCATTATTTGTTAAGCATTAATTCTACATTAATAATAATCATGCAGAGTGAGTTAATAAATGAATAATATTTATCTATCTTATTATTTAGGCATATATTAATGGCTACTTTGTATGTTAATAAATGCTTTATGTTTTGTGACCTAATTTAAAGTGAGGATTATTTATGCTTTCCTGTTTCAATATCTCAGTCACTGATTGGCTGATCAAGGCTCTTGATACATCAGCGTAAAGCAGAGAATCTCACCTTTCCAGTGATATGTAATTCATCTGGATAGGTTGAAGTTATCATATTTTCCCGAATTTTGGAATATCATGACATTAATTTGTTGCGTTTGGCACTTACAAGACACAGCAGGGGTTTACTGATTTACTGAAAGTTTATACTTTATGATTCATTCGAAGACTGTTAGATATGTGATTGTAAATCAATAAAAATAACGATGGATCCTTATTATTGGGAATGAGAGCTTTAATTTGATGTATTACTTGCCATTGTGTGTCTAATATTAGTGATGTGAAAAATATGCATACTGAACAAAGTACATAATCATGGGGGGGGGGAGAATAACCTATAGTTATTCTCCCGATGACGTCATTTTGTCCCCGGTACCGGGCACGCGGAGTTTAAGTGGTTAAATTTGAAAAAAAAAAAAAAGGACTGGGTGTGTTTATTTCACCCTAATATGACAGTCTATACACTATACACACGTCTGTCCAAACAGCTTTAAAAGTAGATTTTTCACCATAGGTGCCGTTTAAATAACTGGTTTGTAAATAACACAGTACTTCATTTAGTAATGAAAAATAAATCATTAATAAAGTATGAAAGTACAATTATTAAGCACATTATACATGTGGTTGTAAGTCAACAATAGAGCATTTGTATCTGCAGTTATAAACTGTTTACTAACATTTATTAATGTAGAGTTAATGCATTTGAATTCACTATTTGCTAATGCTTAATATTCATAGTGTGTAGCTATTATAAAGTGTTGTCAAAATGTATTGTGCTGGTTGAAAGTATCTTCACATTCCAATCGTAATGATTAAAGTAAATGACCTAAATGTATTTTTATATTCTGGGTAAGGTATAAAACTACAAAATGTTCGTAAAATTTGTCAGTCTACAATCGCAGAATCAAAACTTTTTAAAATCCTGAATCAATATTGGAGTTAGTTTTGCACGCTGTAGGAAGGACGACACCATGGCTGAAGCACTTCTGTTAGACTGATAATGTTCTGTGTTAAAACTTTTTTAGTCACGCAGAGCTGATGTAGAGTGAGTTGTTATGAATGGGTTATATGCACAGAAGTGTTGTTCAGCCACTGAAATCTCCCAGCGAAAAATTTATGTGACTATTTTCAGTTTATAAGTCATAAGGACCCTTTACAGCAGTGATAATGTAGATTTTTATTTAGTTTAACAACAAAACATCAGTGACCAGAAAGTTTATAAAGTTGAGCATCTGTTGACTTCCACAGTAGGAAAAACAAATACTATATAAAGTTAATGGTTACAGGTTTTTCTAAACATTTTTGTGTTTAAACTGTTGACAGTGACGACAGGATTTTCATTTTTGAGTGAACTGTCCCTTTATATTAAGATAAGTATTATGAATTAAAAGATTGATCTTGGGGTTTGAGAAATGATTATTTACAATAAATAATTCAATAAATTGAGATAATAAAAAAATTCAAATCAGGCTCTACATACGAAGCATTTAAAACAATGAACAAACAAAAAAACCTGTATGAAAATCTTCACTACAAATATGTCTACTGCTACAGTAATAAAATTTACTGTTGTTGCATACCTGGATGACCCGACTGTCAAAACCCTCAATCTTGTGAACAACATGACTGCCACTGTAGGGGACAGAGTAGAAGACAGCAATTAGACAGAATTCACAAAGCTTTCAGAAAGAAAAATTACAATTGAAGTCAGAATAATTAGCCCCCCTTTAAATGTTTTTTCTTTTCATAAATATTTCCTAAATTATGTTTAACAGAGCAAGGAAATTTTCACAGTATGTATTATATTATATTGATATTTTGTTTTCTTCTGGAAAAAGTCTTTTTGTTTTATTTTGACTAAAATAAAAGCAGCTTTAATTAAAAAAATTTAAAAAAAAAACATTTTAAGGTCAAAATTATTAGCCCCTTTAAGCTATATTTTTTTCAATAGTCTACAGAACAAACCATTGTTAAACAAAAACTTACCTAATTACCCTAACCTGCCAAGTTAACCTACATAACTTAGTTAAGACTTTAAATGTCACTTTAAGTTGTAAAGAAGTGTCTTGAAAAATATAAAGTCACAATGTCTGAAAAGTAACTTACTATAAGTAATTTAAACTAACAATTTAAAATTAACAAGTAATTATAAGTTATGAAAATTATTGTAAGTAATTTAATACTAATAACGATTTGATTTAATACTTAAATACTAAAAATTAGTTAAATACTAAATTTGAGTTTAAACTTTGTTAGAAAGAAAAACATTAAGACTTAAAATTAAACAATATAAGTATGACAAAACTCATTTTTTTTAATAATGACACCAAATTTCCTACTATCAAAAGTATTCAAATATATTTTAAAAACACTGCCAAGTTTCTAAAATATTCAATAGTATCTTAAGCATGCAAGTTGACGGATAAAATAAACTTAGTTGAAAACTACGGAAAATGTCTGAATAATAAAAAATATATATTTACAATAACTTTATATTTATACCTTTAGCATTAAGGGCATGTCTGAATCCACTAATGCTATTTTAAGGACGGAAAAATCCACTTTGCGCCGTGGCGCATCATGGTCTAACAGGGTTTAGCTTATTCTCTTAATGAGTTATAGGTGTGTTTTGAGAATAAACCAATCAGTCTTATTTCCCATTCCCTTTAAGAGTCAGTTGCGTCGTGCCGCGCCATTTGCTATTTACATGGCGGACTTTGTAAGTGTAAAAACTGAATACTTCTCTAGAGAGAAAACAGTTAAACAGAGCATCTACAGCGCGAGAATGAGAGATGAGCCTCCTCATTCTTTACCTTCACTTTAACTCTTGTGAATAGGGAAATGTTTTGTACGCACAGACATACATTAGCCTACATAATTAATTTTGTTTAAGCGCAAATTTTTTTTCAAAACTTTTTTTAAATTCAGTTCTAATTTCCAGGAAACAAATAAATGAACAATAATAACGAAGTGTGTTTAAACGAAATTATATCCGAATACACATGCTGTGCCCCATATGGTCTAAAACCCGACAAGTGGGCAAATCTAAGCTTGTTTTTAATAAAACAAATATAAATATGGATATAACAAATAATACTGCTAATAATATTAACATTATATGAAAGCAAATTGTCATGAAACTGAAAAAGCCTCCCCGAGATGAAGGCATGAAAGCAGGGGTTTTTATATTTATGTAGGCTAGAAAAAAAAATTATATTTTAATCCTTTAATTCTTTTCCATTTGTAAAGATATTTGGGAATTGCTGTATATCCTGTGTGTATTAAGCAATGTTTAAGCGAGGTGCACAACTAACGCGTTCTGCGCTGGACTTTAGACCTCCTCTCTGCTGGTCTGCTGGAACAGACTATTTTAGTCCCTCAAAATAGCAACACGCCAGCAATCCACCTTAACACGCCTCCTTTTTTTAGACCAGAATGCCTATGGGCGCACATTAGAGCCCAAATGCTTTTGCTATTTCAACAGCGAGGTGCAAAACATCAAAACGACTCTTGCCCCGAGCTGAAACTAGCAAACAACAATTGCGTCGCGCCGGGTGTATGACAGGGCCCAAGATCGCTATAAAGTTCACATGCACACAAACGCATGCACACACACGTTCAGCATTGCACAGTAAATGTGACAGGATACACGTTAATATCAACTGCTGTATGGATATTTTAAATGTTTATGTAGAATAAACCTGATTAAAGTTCACAAACCGGAATTGAAGCATCTTCTTTTATAATTGTACTGACACTATGTGGCTGTGGTGATAATTAATGATTTTAATGAATTTATTACAAACGCACTGTTTTAAAAACGTTTTGAACTTGCAAAAGTTCCAAACGGTCTTGTGTACTTGTGTTCTCGTGTAACGTCATCATTAATTTTCAAAGTTTAGTTCCAATACTCAAGGCCGCACGAACGGAGGACGCGTGAAACTTCCTGGATGTGTTCTTGATATCAAGGACGCACCAATGCAGCCTTGAGCACCGAACTCTCTCTAGAAGTCCCAGAAGTCATTGCGACTGGAGGTGGAAAGCGCAGCATTTTATGTAGGCTTATTATTCCTTTATTATTATTATTTATTATAAGTTCAGAGATATAACTTATTATCTCAGGAGTTTCCCTAAATAAAAGGTAATATGGTAATATTGTAAAACGGTGATGATTTGGCAAAATATGATAATCTTAATAAAGGCATAAACACATTGAGGGGGTTTATTTATTGAAATTCATATTAAAATCTGTTTTATTTGTATTGTGCAACGAATATTTATGTTTTTATGCATAGTATATTGTAGTATTAGTATACTATAGTATTAGTATAGTATAGTATTTTGGAAAGGGGAAAAACAATAAATCGTTGTATAAATGCAGTAATGTTTAAATAATTTTCCTTTAAAAACGCGTGAAGGTCACGTGACCATCAGGAAGAACGCAGCATCTCATTTCTCAAAGGATGCGTTCTCTGTTCTCGTGGTCTTCCGAGTTAGTTCTTCTGAGGACACCTGGCAAGAACGGTCTTTACAAGAAGGCAAGTTCGTTTTCTGCGTTCTTGGAATTGAAAAACAGCCATGTTAATGGTGGGTCAACTCCGGTGGGCGGAGAAAATCAAACTCTGTTGTGGTGCGCCTCAAAATGGGAGGGATTAGGGTCCTGTTTTTACGTCAGTAAATTAAAAAAAATTAATAAATAGAGTGTTATTGTTGCCCCAATATGACTGTGGACACACTATACATACACACAGTTCTGTCCAAACAGCTTACAAAAGAGGATTTTCATCGTAGGTGCTCCTAAAGCATGTACACAATTGTCTTGATAGTCAAAAGACATTTGCAAAATATATATTACTCTGCTTCTTTAAAATAATTTATATAGAACCGTTGAATTTGCGTACGGTATTTAAGCAAGTACATAATAATTAACTGACAATAAAGGACCTAAAAATTAAAACTAATCCATTACGTTACTTTTCAGCTTAAAAGTAATTTAAATACATTTATAACTAGCTACTTTGATGAAAACGCTTCTTATTTGGGTTTATTATGTTGCCTCTGATGTTTCACTCCAATTGCAAACTCGAGAGCAATTCCCATCATGCTGTATAATCATTTCACTCTAAGCTAATCAAGAAAAAGCTAAAACAAAGAAATTAGCAGTGAATGTGACTCTACTGGGAGACAGGTTTTGTTTTACCACCAGCACATATTGTGAAGCAGATCCCTTTGGTGCAGAAAACAGGACATTCACTGCTGAAGGACAAACCTGTACACTTCATCCTCCACGATCTTCCTCCCACACTGCCCAAAAGTATTACTGCCCATGCTGAACACTAATGAGAGAAACAGAGAACAAGAGACATCAAGCACTCATCACACTGCAGCTTAGAAATTAATATCTAATGCAGTTGTAATGCAGCTTCAAGCGGAATCTTCCTAATTAATCTACTGTGTATAGCAGTAGCATTCATTTCATTCAGATAATGTTCAAGTTAGTGAACCTTCGACTGGAAGTTGAAAAGGGCGGCTCTCAGGGACACTACCCACTCTCAAACCAAGCTACATCAATTTACAATACTTGAAACAAAAAAATACAACATTTTAAACAGCTAAAAATGGCATTATACTTTCTTTTAGTGCCTGTCTTGTTTATTCACTTTGCTTACATTGTTAACAAATATATTTAGTCATGTTTATGAAGCTGTAAGTATATCTTACAGTGTGACATGGTAGTCATGTTTATGAAGCAGCTTTGACACAATCTACATTGTAAAAGCGCTATTCAAATAAAGCTGAATTGAATCTTTATCATTATTTATTTATTTATTTATTTGTGTTTTAATGCCATATCATGAAGATACTTGAGTTTACTTTAATGAGAGATTGTTTTGTTTTTTATTAATAAAATGACAGTATTTATTTTAAATAACTTCATAACAACGCAACAAGTTAACAATCTGTCTTTCTGTATTTCTTTTTTTTTTTCTTTCATTTGTTCGGTTGACGTTTATAGCCATACTGAATGTGCCAGTAGGTAGCAAGTACCATTATGTGACTTTAATGTTACTTAAACAGGGCATATGCAGGAATCCTAACGATAATTTCAATACTTTTTTAAAGACTTTTTAAAGACCTTCTCAAAATATTTTAAGACCCCGTCACCACTTCAAGTTCTATCATCAGTATTACACATTGAACTTAATAAACAGTTGTTAATAAAGAGTTGTAGTTAAATAAATCAATGGAGCACAATCATGCAACAGAACTCAGATAAGCTTAGAAGAAACAAAGCTTGGAAGAATCAATTACGTGGTTGTTTTCAGCAAAAGGCTTCGGCCAAACTGTTTAAACTCATTTTTCTTCAACCAGGAGTACGCAAACTTACATTTTCGTGTCTGTTTCGCTCTATGGTTTTGCTATACGTGGAGAGCAGCCCATCACCTTCCCGCGTTCGCCACAAATTACCTGACATCATCCAGACAGAGGAGCTTGGCCGGACACGCCCTGGCCTGAACCAATCGCGTGGATCGAGCATGACATTGTTAATATTAGGAGAAAAATAAATATATTTATTCTTTTTTTGGAGTCAAACATTTTGGACAACGCTTAAACAAAATCGAAGACCTCGTAAAAACGCGATTAATACCTTTTAAGGTCCTTAATTTTCTCATAATTGATTTATTAACTTTTAATTCTTTATAAGAGCCTACGGACACCTTGTTCAACTTATTTAACCTTAAACCCTGCTCACACTGTAAGACTTTAGCTAAGATTTTGTCACCTGAGACAAATTTGAAAAATCCAAAAAGAGTGCTGAAATCCTTGGCTAAAATCTGTGATCTTTGATCGTTGGTTTGACATGTTCACTGACAGCCGCTTAGTGCTCGTTGTGATCAGATTTTCTCTCCGATAAAGTTCTGGCAGTGTCAGAAGATTTCAGACACTTTCCTGCAGTGTGACAACAGCTGCGATGAGTGTCAATCCAAGAATCAATAGGAGCACAGAATCTGATGACGCAATCCATGCGACAATACAAAGGACCGCGTGGAAATGTCAAAACTGTTTTTTTTTTCTTCCTAGTTTTATTATTGAGACACGCTGTGTGCAAAATTGCCGATACAGATTGTTTACATTTGCTGTAAGGAATCATTTCAGAACGCGGGATAGTGAAAGTGTCATGGGTAGATGATGTCAAACTCCGGGGGAGTTTTCTTCCGTGTTTGGTGCATCTTCATCTGAGATCTTACGATGTGACATGGTAGTCATTTTTGCAGTTTAAAAAAATAAATTGCACAGTGTGAGCCAGCCTTTACATAAGTTTAATCATTTGATTAATTCCCAGAGATGGATTGCGGCTGGAAGGGCATCCGCTGTGTAAAAACTTGCTGGATAAGTTGGCGGTTCATTCCGCTGTGGCGACCCCGAATTAATAAAGGGACTAAGCCGACAAGAAAATGAATGAATGAATAATCATTTGTATACATTTGAAACTGCACAATTGATGTTTTATAACTCTTTGAATCTGCCCGTTTTAGACTGAGTGAATTCAAAACAGGACTGACATTATATCTGTGAAAAATTGAAAATCTCAAAAGTAGTGAAAAATGTCAACTCTAATGGCAGACGGCTGCTTCTCACTCAGGGCTTACAATGCTAATGAGGGAAAGATTGTCATTAATGGACAAAGCTTTCCCCCTCCAATGATTTGTAAAAATGCCAATCAAGGTGTTTCTGGAAACTGTTTTTATTCAAGTGTGATTGCATAAAATTTACTTGATTAATTTCTACCAATAAAGGTTGGTTATATTCCCCACAGCTGTGTGTAAAGCTTTTATAAAAGTGATTTTTGAATAATATTTCCCCTGTAGGACCAGCCAAGAACCATATAGTTTTGTTATTATGGAAAACCATAAAATTCAATAAGGGGTCCAAACTTTTTAACATGCAAGTATGTTCATAAAAATAGTAGATGTTAGCCATACAAGCATGAAATAAATTAATTCTGAAAAGGAAAAAAAAAATTGGTAAAAAGTAGTTGAAATGGCCTGTTTGAGTGTGATGATGATGATGATGATGATGTATTTTTATTTATTGCCATGTCAGCAACAAAGGCCATTTTCATGGCAAAAATATTTCATTAATAAATATATAATTAAAAACAACAAACAAATAAATACATAAATTAGATAAGAGTTCCTGTGTTCCATCATGTCCCTGCCTAATATATGGTGGGAGGTTGGCAATTTCAGGTCCAGTATGTGACTTGTTCTTTTTTGCAATGTGAGTAACATACACAATAAAAGTTCACACAAAATGAAATATCACACATCGTTGTTGCGCGCGTACTAAAGAGCGGTGTTATCGCGTGGGTACTGATCAGCTGTGTTGTCGTGCGCGTACTCAAGAGTGGTGTTGTGGCGCGCCTACTGAAGGGCGGGACCAAGGGTGTGTTGCGTCGCGGGGGCACTTTTGATCATTTTGGAAGGGCACTTTCTATCCAAGACTAAAAAGGGCATGTGCACTGCACAGGTTGAGCCCTATGTGTGCACGTGCCTGGTATTACTACTTATTCCTGCGATGTTTACCATGTCAGATTTAAGCTCACCTCCTTCAGAGTCTGTGAGCACCAGAGAATGAGCACGACCACATGAGACTTGCAGCACTCGTGTCTCCTGAGGGTTCAGCAGCGGCAGAGACACTGGAGATGCTTCCAGCACATAGTCGTAACTCTTACCTACAAACACCAAAAACAGTTCATCAATATTTCCATGATCTGGAGGAAGTGTTTAACACTATCACTACCCTGAAGCATAGAAAACTGACTGTAACCAACATACTTCCCTAAAAAAAAGGCAATATAAATATATACAATGTGAATTTTGTATTCTTTTTCAAATATTTCTCAAGTGCTGTTTAACAGAGCGAGGACATTTTTACAGTATTTCCTAATATATTTTCTTCTTCTGGATGAAGTCTTTTTTGTTTAGTTTCTCTGGGATAAACACAGTTTTTATATTTTTAAAGGCAATTTTAAGGTCAATATTTTAGCCACCTTAAGTTATTCCAAACCTTAGTCGTGTCTTGCCTTAGGTTCCATTATCTTTTGGTACTTGTGATCCACTGTAATATTCAGGTCTGGACTATGTGGAGGTCACTTCAAAAAAACTTCATGTTTTGTGGCACTTTTTCTCTCCAAATATTATTTTAATCAGTAATGTATTTTTTAATAATAATAATTTTTGTTCTTTAGTTAAACACAAATAATTATAATTTGAAGAAAGTTGAAAACCTGTTGACTTCTACAGTAGGAAAAATAAATACTATGAAAGTCAATGGTTACCAGTTTTTCCAACATTTCTCAAATATCTTCGTTTGTGTTTGACAAGAAAAAAAATCTCAAAGGTTTGAAAGTAAAATGATTACGGGAATTTCATTTTTGGGTCGACCTTTCCTTTAAGAAACATAAACATAAACTAAAAGATCGATCTTGGGATTACAGAATTGATTACTGATAATAATTGATTCAATAAATTGAGGAGATAAGAAAAATATTTAAAATCCACACGTTTAAAACATTGCTATTTGCTCACCACATGTGTAGTAAACGAGAAAACCTGTATCAAAAGTCTTGACTACAAATCTATGTACTGCTAGAGTCCTAATATTTACTAAGATTGTAGAGCATGTCATGATTTTGCAAAGTACGATGCGGTCCTGGATTAACATCTATGTTGATCCTGGAACATCAGGTGTATTTGTATTTTTGAATATCTATTCCCTACCCCTAAACCCAACCATAACTGTAAATTATTCCCAAAATCAGAGGGCAAAAATAGATAAACCTAACTGTAAGCCTACACTTAACATAAATGGTAATGCCTAAATTCTGATTCGCTGACTGGAATGTTGTTCCAGGATCAACCATTGACAAGCGGTGAAGTTTGTGGCTGATGAGGCACTGACTCTTTCAAAGTCAGACTTACAAATATTTGCGCCCAATATATTTGTCAACCACCAATTGTGTTTCGTCCATTATTTATTCACGTTTTCATTGAAAGTTAAATTTAGAGAAATTTTTTGCTGAGAAATTAACGTTGCATCAGCAATTTTTGCAGTCAGAGCAAAACAGCAAACTCCTATTGAAATTTACAGCGTAGAAGAGCAACCACTGAACAAGAATATCCGTGAGCCCATGTGTGCCCTCTTCAGTGCGGCAGAGCTACTGCCTGCCTCACCTCATGTCATGTCTTTTCAGTGCGGCTTTATGTCAGTTTCTATCACTAAATAAGTGATAGACATTCGTTAAATACAGCTGAAGTCAGAATTATTAGCTGTTTGATTGCGATGGTTTCTTACTTTTGTCATGTTGCGTCCGCTGAAAGCCCAGCTGAGAGTCTTTGTTAAGGCCCATTCCCCACAGTTTAGTCAGATCTTTGGTATTAGAGGCCAGTAAGGTAAAGCCATATCCACAGGCGGCTGAGGAAATCTACCAAACAGAACAAACAGAAAGTCTACTACTGATCAAAACTGTTAAAGAAGAACTTTCCACTTTCGACTTTCTACTTCCAAAGATTTCTACTCATTCAGCAAGTAAATTTACTGGTGTAAATTCAATAATTGGTTTAAAAAAATAATTTTAAATAATCTATTAATTTAGGAAAAATCCAGGAGGCAGAAGGGGGAACAATCACAGCTCTTTTGTTTAGATTATTAATGCTTGAGTCATAATTTATCATATTAAATTGATCTCTGAAGGATCATGTGACACTGAAGACATTGTCATCACAGAAATATTGAAATAAAAACTAAGAAAATGTTAAAATAAATGTATCATCAAATAAATGAGACTTTGGTAAGCATCGTACTTCAAAAGTAATACAGATTAGAATAATAAGCTATGTTAGGTTTGTTTACAAAACCCTTGACCAAGTGTTTGCAGCAGCAAAGAAGTTTGGCTTACATTTACACCAGACGTTACGTGACAGAAAAAAAATAAACTACCTACTTGGTGACTGACATGTTGTTAGTATGTTTCTATCACATAGCTAACTTGTTTTTAACATAATGCTAACATCTGCTGGCATTTTCAGTATGGCTGCAGTATAAAAATCGAAAGAAAGATTTCGTTAACTTGTTTGTTGCATTGTTATGAAGTTATTATAAAGTTGCTCACTTGAATTAGCATGTAGCTAGCATGTCTAACAATTTAAAATGCTACTGTTGTGTTTTAACACTATGCTAGCAAATTTTAGCATGGTTGTTAACCAGAATTAAAGCTTAAATATCCAAGGAGCAGATTCAATATTAATCTGGTCACAAAAGAAGTTTAAGAAGCCCACAGGATGCGGTTTCACCTTTAATGAGCAATGAATAATACTACCAACCAACAACATTTGAAAATGGTGGATTTGTTTTACTTCAAATGAAACAAAAACACATTTCCCCCTATATTGTTGGTACTTTTTGTTTATGGTGTAGGGATTCATTCATTCATTTAAACATTATTTGAAGGCACTTAACCACCACAAAACAACAGAGCAAAATGATATACAATAAAATGACTTCAGTAAACAGCATTTAACTTTGAAAACATACTTAAAACAAAAGCACATATGTAAGTGCGACATACACAAAATCACATACTTTGACATATATAAGCACTATTAAACAAACATCAAATCAAGTTCAAAGCCACAGGGAATGCTCGGTCTCCTCTGAGATAGGCCTGTCACAATAATCAATATACCACACAATGACCTCAATAATTTTTGGTGATAGAATATATAGTGCCCATAAAAAAAACAATTCCAGCAATATTTAGTGCAACATATCTATCTCTATTGAAGTCAGTATGGTTAAAAAATATTTATTATAAATCACTAAAGTATATTTTCATGTGGGTGTCTGACAACAGAAAATAGATCTGGTAGCAGATATCACAGCCTCTGTTACTTTTTACCTTGCACTTTTTTGTTAAGAGTTATTATCATTTAAGATATGCATTTTTACATTTTGGTTCCAATGCCTAATTATTAAAGTGTTAAAATGACTATAATTAAATGAAATATTCTTAAGAATAAAATATTTTGTGTTCTTTAGAAGAGTGTACTTGCATTCTGATTATATTATATTGTCATTCTGGCATTATAGTGGCATAAAATCGCCTTACAATGACAATAATATAATTTATTGCAATATACTTTGGTAAAATATATCGTACAACAAAAATAGATATCAAGACAGGCCTACTCTGATGTCATACATAACATATGGCACTCTAAAAACCAGCTGATCTGTGAATCTAAAAAAGAGACAAGATATTTAGGGTGTAGATGAAGTAATGTTGTTTACACAACAGTTCTGTCTGGTTCACGAATCTGATTGGCTGATAGCCGTGTGATATTCTGCAATAACAGCACTCATACAGCTTCTTCACTCTTGTGTATTACTCCGCCCCCACACAGTGACAGTAGATCAATAAACTCACTACAGTTTGACATATATTGCAGCTGTTGGACAACATAATGTACTTCTGAGGGTTTTTAGGTGAGAATTTAGCTGTTTAGATAGCAACTATGCAGCTCATTTATAAGGATAGTGCCTATTTTAAATTTTTATAATTTCGATAAAAAGATACAGCACGCCTGCGGCCATCAGCCTGTCACACTGAGCAGAGCAAAGTCGGCTGCGCCACAAGACGGTGACAGAGACAACATAATAAGTCCTTAGGGGAGAAAAATTCAGCGTTTTCTTTTTGTATTTCAAACTGCAGCTGATCATAAATAATTATTATAAAACAGGTAAGTGATATTCTAAATCGACCTCTCTCTCTTTTATATGTTGTAGTGCTGTATTTATACCATAGTAATCTGCTAAGGCTTTTTTCGAGGGTAAGTACTGTGACCTCCTGATTGCAAAGTAGAAATACTGGGAAATCTCAGTAGACTGATGGCATTTTATGTTGATCAGCCTTATAAGCTTAAAATAAAAGCAAAATCACCTGTTTTGTCACCACTTTAGATATTACGCTAGAGAATCATTCAAATACTAGCTCTAAAGTGACGTTTCTGAATGGTTTCTGCTGTTCTGACGTCAGCTGCAGATGTGAATGAATGGTGGAATAAAGTAGTTCCTCTTACAAAAGGGTTTTTAGTATATCATCACTGGTCGAACACAACATACACTTCCCACCAGTGCCGATATACAGCAATATTGCACTGCTACAAGTGTGATATTGCTCATATATATGGAGGAGCAGAAGCATTTATAGATTTAAATACAAAGAAAATAATTTTAAAATGAATTCTATATTGTAAAGGCAGCCAATGAAGTGAGAATAAAATAGGGGTGATGTGCTTACATTTGTGACTCCCTGTCAAAAAAGGTGCAGCAGTATTTTGCACCAACTGCACTGATACCCACATATAAAGATTTACAGTAATCCAGGCGAGTGGTGATAAAGGCATGGATATTCAAAATGTTGCCTTGAGAGAAATGGCTTCATTTTCAACAGCTGTCTCACCTTTTGTTCAGTATCCAGACAGTAAGGTGTGAGCTGGGTCTTCCTGGGCTTTTTCCTCCCACTGTCCGGCACTACAAAGCTGGGTATGCCTAAAGCTCCAGTGTAGCTGAAGCCCCACACAAACACCTTCCCTTGAGGCTTCCTGTTTTGACCCACATACTGATACACAGGTACGTCGTCCTGCTGTTCCCGCTTCTTAGGGGTAACAGTTGGTCGTGTGGCATACGCTCGGAGACCCAGATGAAAACAAGGACGACCATAAGAGCGAATGTTAGCTACAGCCATTATTGACGGTGACCTGCATAAAATACAAAATATATTTAGGAAATACTTCATACTAACAGATGATCTGGGAATTTAATGACCTTTTGAAGATCTTTTTAATGGTAAAAATGCTATTAATATTTTAAAGAGAACACAATATTTACAAAAAACTAATTTACAACACAAACAATTGTGTTCCCGAAATGTACATTTCTAAATATCACATGATAAATCTGAAAAACTCTACTGTTAAACACTAGTATTTTCCTCAGTATTTTCAGTGCAAATGTCTAATGATTCTTACATCAAGAAATATTTATTTGTGGCAAAACAGCCACATAAGATAATAAAAAACAAGAAAAAGCCTTTTTTTTTTGGCCTTTTAGCCTTTATTGAGACAATAGGACAGCATTTTAGACAGGAAACAAAGGGGGAGAGAGAGAGGGGGTAGAGACGGGAAATGTCCTCGAGCCGGGATTCGAACTTGGGATGCCCTGAAGTGCTTCTGCACAATATGTCAGCGTGCTAACCACTAGGCTATTGCGGCAACGAAAAAGCTAACAAGCTATCAAGTATGACAACCTTGGATAAAAATATCACAGTTTCGCGGTATTGTAATTTCTGCTCTAAAATATATTCTTTTTAAATATCTGGGTAAAACACAACATATTTTTTTCCTGTTTAAAAACAATATATTTTAGTTTTTGAAAGTAAACATGTCAGGCTGAATTTTCAAAAATAAAATAAAAAATAAATAAAAAATCTTACACATACCTTAGGAACGGTATTACAGAAAATTTTGACGGTTTTAAAACCTTGATTTTTCCAAACCTTAAAAACGATTATCGTCCCATGCCTAAACCACACTGAAAAAAATTACTTGTGCTGCTTGTTAAAACTACTTATTTAAAATGAGCTGGTTTTTATGGGGACAACATGTTTTATGTTCAATCCACTTAAATTTGAAATGAACGATTAAGTTAACTTAATTTGTGCTGGGTCAACATGAAGAAATTGTGTACAACCCAACATTTTTTACAGTGTCTATTTTGGATATACTTCATACCGATAAATGCTTTGGGAATTAAAGAACATTTAAGATAGAATAAAAGTTGAATTATTATTTTAAAAAGAACACAATATGTATAAACAATCAAATAAAACAAATTTACAACACAAACAATGATGTGTTCTAAACGTAAATTTCCAGATATCACCTAATAAATTTGAAAAACTCTGTCCTGGAGGGCCGGTGTCCTGCATGGTTTAGCTCTAACTCTATTAAAAAACACCTGAACATGCCAATCAGTGTCTTCAAGAAATCTCGGACACCGGCCCTCCAGGACTGACTTTGCCCATCCCTGCTATTTAGGTATGTTCAGGTCATGTTTTTCAGTGCAAACAATGATTCTCATATCAAGAAACATTTACTTGGGAGAGAAAAACCACGTGATATTTTGTTTCTGCGGAAGTGATAAAAACTTGAGTGTTTATGTTTGAAACTAAAACAAATACCTGCCAATGGGCTCAGAAAATATTATTACAATTGGAAAAGTAGCCTTTTTATGATTGATATTTTTTCTTGTTTTAATTGTAAACTCATTTGTATGCTTATTTTGATTTTCTCAGACATATCAAGGCAAGTGTGCAAAGTGTGCACTCTGTCACACACAAAGTATATCTCATATCCCCATATAAAAGCCAGAAATTAGGCTTTTTTTTTTTTTTGCTCTGCAGTTTATGATCAACAGTGAAAAATTACAAATTGTCCCTCTTCCCAACATGAAAAACAGTCCAAAAATCAAGAATACATAATATGTGGCTTTGGAATCATTATAATGGGGAAGTCATTTTAGAAGTCATTATAATGGGGCAAAAGCAGCCACGAACATAACAGAAGAGTAGTACACCTGTTTGAGCTTTTTTCCCAAAATATGCACCAAAATAAGATTTGTCAACAAACATCATCCCATTTACTGAATCACAGAGAAAGTTTTGGCCAAATTAAGCCTCAAAATCATCCAACAGTGGATGAAAACATTCCCAGCAGCACACAAGAGTTAAGATATTTAGTTTTATTTAAAACCCTCAGAAACTGTATTATTATGATTTTTCCTCTTTTGTTCCCCCTCCTAAATATCCTTGAAGCATCATGTCCATAGAATGAATAATAAACATGATTATCATGATTATCAAAAAGTTATATATATATATAGTATACAGTTATTATTTTAATAAACCAGAAAAGCGCTTTATAAATGTAAGGAATTATTATTATTATTATTAAGATAATTATTATGGTTCCACAAGTACCGTGAAGCAGCATGGAAAGAGCGTCATATATCAATACAATTATAAGACAAAGATATATGCAAATAGACTGTGAATTTCTTCTTATGTATTGCATTGCATTTTGGGATATTTAGTATTTCTGACGGTCATTTGTGTGTAGGTGTAATGTAATGTAAGATACTCACCGCTCAACAGCCGGGAAATCCTCTAAGAAAACGTTTTAAATACTTCCTATCACATACTATGATTCACACATGTGCAGATTTGTAAATAAATAGTCTAACTCGTCGGCTAAAATAGGAAATCTGCAGTTATATAATGTGAAATAACTCCACTCCACGGTTTGTGATGCTCTGACATGTTGTCTATAGAGGCGACCATGACAGTGACGTTGACGTATGACGCACGATGTACATACAAAATAAAAGTCGGATTTTGCAGTAGTGTAATGATAAAAAACGGTAGGTGACTGTCGTTTCCCGTGCTTTTAGCAACTGTATGTTTTGTTTTTCTAACAGTACCCAGTGGATCTCAGACTTTTCACTTTAGTTTTTTCTACAGCAAAATTTAAAGACGCTAACAATTTTTTTCCTGACAGAATGTTTCTACTGCATATTTTAAATAAGGGCACTTGGAGGGTTCTTAATGCCCCATAGACCCCTGATTGAAAACCACTATCTACAATGAAAGTCTTCGGTAACAGCTTATACAGCTTGTCACTTAGCAGCACACCTGTGTTCAAAGGCTTAAAAAGAATACTGTATACTGGCTGGGACATACAAACCAGCAGCCCGATTAAACAGACTTACTGTATGCTCTCAGCGGGGAGTTTTGTTTTGTTCTTGTATTTACTTTATTCTTCTTTTTCACTGGATTTAATTTATTAATAAAAGTGTTTTCATATTTTTTTTTCTTTCAGAAGTAGAAATTGGCCTTATTCGCAGAACCCATCAAGATAACTTGTGGTAAGGTATGAATCTAATTAAATTATTGCTTGAAAGATATTACAAAAGAAGGTCCTTTAACAAAACTCTACCTGTGAAATATATTGAAGAGAGGATCCTGATTTCTTCATTTAAGTAGGGTATTAAATGAAGGCATTCAGCACAAAGTACAATAATAACATCTGGCATTTCACATGTTGTTTATTTATTCATAACTGTAAAAATACATTTAAAATTACACTTAGTACATCTTAAAAATGCATACTTAAGTAGCCTATTGCTGGTCATAAATATTCACTTCTAAAAATGAAATAAAGATTCCTTATTATCACTGATGGTCCCAATAAGAACTTTTAGCCTTCACAGAACCTTTCTATTGCCCAAAAGGGTCTTTATATGTTGAAAAAAAAAGTTTTTTCTCATTATCAGACGATTACTATACAAATGTTTATTTTAGAAACTATTTACTGATACTTTTTTGGGAACCCAAATAATGGTTCTCCTACAGAATATTTATTGTGAAGAAAGTCATACATACAAGAAGTCCAATACACATAGCTTATAACAGGTTCTGGGCTAAACAGGAGTCAATGTAAGCATCTAAATGCCTGTGACCATTTCTATTGCAGATTGGAGCTTAATGTTGAGCAGGCACTGTGGGATCCCAGCAAGCATTTTTTGTTTTACGTCTAATAGACCTCTAAATATAGACGGCTTGGTTAAAACAAGGCAAAATATGGTCTGGAAAGGAAAATCTAATCGACATCCCCCCAAACAAGCCCTGTATTTGATGAATAGTCTAGTTGTGGGACTATTCTTAGATTTCTATTAGATGTCTATTAATTTAGCCTTGTTTTTATTGGTCACTGACAGACAAAATTTAGCCTTGTCAAGCCAAGTCGTCTATGGTTTGAGCGGTTCTGGCATGTTTTCATGTGGAGGCAGCCATGACAGTGATGCTGATGTATGACACACGTTTAGATGTCTATTAGACGTCTATTAAACATAAAAAATCTTAGTGGGATGCTTCAGTCAGCCTCTTGCATGCTCATCCTCTTGCTTGTGTTTTCAGTGCAGCGCTCCAGAATGAGCTGAGGACTGGGCCGAGGAGGAACCACCGGAACACTTTTATCCTCATCTTCTGCTTGAGGAGCGCTGGATTTCTCGATGTTCTCTAAGTGAACACAAGACAATTGATAGTTTTAGCAAACAGCAATTTTTTGAGTGCAATAGGAAAGAATTTGAAACTGAAAATAATTAAATAAATAACTATAAATGACATATAACAGAACAATAAGATATAAAATTACTATAAATCGGTACAATTAAATATAATAAAGTATAATTACATAATAATAATAATAATAACAATATAAGATATACATTTATTCATGCATTTTCCTTCTGCTTAATCTCAAATTTATTATTGCCACAGCCTTATGCAGCCCAAGACTGGGTACTCACTGAAGCTAAGCAGGGATGAGCCCGGTCAGTATCTAGATGGGAAACCACATGGGAAAACTAGGTTGCTGTTGGAAGCGGTGTTGATGAGACCAGCAGGGGGAGCTCAACCTGCAGTCTGTGTGAGTCCTAATGCCCCAGTATAGTGAAGGTATATATGATTTACGCAGCGGATGCCCTTAATATAATATATAGGAATGTTTTACTGATGGAACCGATCCTATTTTTAATTTCAAAAACTTAAGAGTTTTGCATTTCCTGCTGCCATTTTATATACTTAACCAGCGACCTTTTTGCTGTAAGGCAAACGTGCTACCCACTGTGCCACCGTGCAGCCATAAAATTGTATTATACGCAGTTATAAAATGTTATTATATTATTAGTTTGTAGTTTTAATTTGTTAGTTTTCACTACTGTTATGTTAGGTTTAACTAAATTGTAGAAGTTTCTATTTTATTTATTTATTAGTTTTTAAAAATCATTTAACTTTTGGTTTGCTTTAGTCATTATAGTTTTAGGTTAGGGAAATTCACATTTTTTACAACAATTCGTTCACATTTTATTTTCAGTTTTAGAAAAAACTATTTCAGTTTTATGATTTTTGTTTTAAATAAATTTTAGTTAACAATATTGATATGTAGGGTGACTCGATGGCTCAATGGTTAGCACTGTCTCCTCACAGCAAGAAGGTCGCTGGTTTGAGTCCCAGCTGGGTAAGCTGGCATTTATGTGTGGAGTTTGCATGTTTTCCCTGTGTTGATGTGGGTTTCCCCTGGGTGCTCCGGTTTCCCCCACAGTCCATACACATGAGCTATAGGTGAATCGAGTAAATAAAATTGGCCTTAGTGTACCATGGACTAAGTCAAAGGAAAATGAATATTGTTATATACAAAAATAAATTCTTTCGATTACAACAATGTCCTCATTTTACTTATGGATATTTAGTTAATTTTATTATTAGATTTATTAATTATTGATTATCACTATTAAATCAGTTCACTGAAATTTCATTAAGAGAAGCCAAAATGTTAGTTTTTATAGTATAACTGTGAAAACCTTTACTAACCAGTATTTTTAGAATCAGTATTCTTTATGTAGAGCACACACACACACACACACACACACACACACACACACACACACCTCTGTTTGTCCTCCTCTCCTGCAGTGGAGATCGTGTCCCGATCCTGGAATGAGAGTTCAGTCTTCCTCTCTGCTGTAAGAAGCGACGGCTCTGTTTCCGGTAGCTGTCCTGACTGATTCGCCGGCGTACCGTAGAATGGATACTCTGGGCATTGCGGATGGTCGACCTGTTGGCCAAAATGAAAAATACTGTAAGTTTAATCTGATATTTATCAAAACACAGTGGGTGGGCTGCACCAATAAGAATTAAAACAAGCAAATCTCAGGACTAATCAGGGGTTTGTTTTTGTTTTTTTAATCATTTTTACATTCCAGCAGAACTAAAAGAAATACAACTTTATCTACAAAAAATATTCAGAAAAGAATGTCCTTGCTCTGTTAAATATAATAAAAAATTATGTTAATGTAAGATTTTTTTTTTTGGGGGGGGGGGGGGGTTGTCTTCAACTGTATGTGTTTGTTTGTGAAGTATCTGAGAATCCTTGTAGCAAACTTATGTGTGACTTGCTTTAAAAAAGCAACCATTCTTTTGTGTTGTGTTTTATTTTCACTATTTTATATTTATTTATTCTTCATTTAATTGTTTTATTTAATCATATGATCATTAGTAATTTATATAATTAACCTTGTATCATTTTATTGATCATTACTATTATTTTTATTGATTATTATTTATCATTTCATTATGTTTTTATATTTTATTATTACTATTTTTCAATAATTATTGCTTCATTATTAGTTCATTTTTCCATATTGTTATAATCTTATGGCTGTGTGGATTTAAGTAACACTTGTTTTCATGAGCTGGAGATAAGAGAATGTCTCCATTTTAAGGTCTGTATTGTCACTGGACAATGATGTGAAGTTGTAATTTTCCCTTGCTGTGGTAAAATAACACTTGTTGGATTTGTACTGGTCAGACATTGAATCATACGCAACTATTCAATATACTCCGCTCTTTCCTTATCATCATTCCTTCATCTCCTGCTTCTGCTCCTCTCTGGCTTTTCCTGTCAACTCTTATATTGATAGGAGATTGTTATTCAGTTGAATACTAATTAACAGGTTTGGGTATTGGCAGCTCCCCAGAGATCAGTCATTTTCTGACAAGATCTGATGTTCAGTGCTAGGTCTTATTTATCTGGCATGGAGAATGTGTTCTAACATTTGTATTAATATGTATTCATTCATTTTCCTTCTGCTTAGTCCCTAATTTATAAGTATAAAATTATATAAATATATACGTAATGGGCTATCTTTTTAATTATAGAAAAAGGGCAAAATCTAAATGGGATTCTAGTCAATAAATAATAAATATAAGGTAAAAATAACAATAAAAAAAGTGAACTGCATTCTTTCTGAGAATCTTTAAACCTCAACAGCAAGTTTAAAGTTAATCCTCAGCTGAAATTCATAACCCAGTTTAAACTCAAAGAGTAACATGATAATAGTTAATTCAGGTTAAACCCTGATTTAATAAAGATTTTACCAATAATATATTTATCTAATAATTGATTCTAATAATTAATATTGTTTTTCGGAAAACAAAATAGTTTTTACAGCTATTTTGGTGTACAAAATTGTTCTTGGAGCTTCGTATGAATACAGTTGAAATACTATCGTCACATGGACTGTTTTGACAATGTTTTTGTTTCCTTTTCAGGACCCTTGCTGTCTCAACTCAGAGGATTGGAATCACATGAAGAACAGTAATTAATAACATAATTTTTTCATTTTTTGTGTGAACTAACCCTTTTCTCAGTAATTGTTATCTAAAATTATTGTTGTACCTTCTTGGTGGTGGTGTTGCTCTTCTGACCACGTCCCTCTCAGCATCCACCTCTTTCTTCTCCCCCGTCCTGCACAGGAACATGGACGGATAGAAGCCGGTTTCCTCGCCTTTCCTGTAAAAGACATTTCCTTTAAATTTTTGGCAATCTGTTATGATAAATCATCAGATAGTTTCGACACATTCTTAAGTAGGAGAGCGCGACTCGTACCTGACCACCCACCACCCATCAAGAAGTTTATGGATGACTTCAATAATGACTCCTGCTTCGAGAGTCATCTCATCCTGTTCCACAGCTTTATAGCCTCTGGTGGTTTTGTAGAGCTCTCCTGTTGAGGATATAAATCATCAGCATCGCACAAATAATCAACACAGTTAAAAAGATAATACACCCAAACATTTATCTTTGTGGTGACGTCTTTCTTTAGTAAATAGTAAAGATGATTTTTAGCTAAACCGTGGCGCTTGCAATATGTAATGGAAGTTAATGGCTACTGTTTTTGAGATTTAAAATAAACATATACAAAGAAGTCTAAATTAATATCCATGTACGGTGACCAAGAGAGATCAAAAAGTTAAGAAAACACATGTATATAGAGTAACACTAACAAACTGAGAACACATATTCATCATTTTGACAACAAGCATGCAGGCGAATTGTCACAACACATGTAAATATAGAAATATGCTAGAAATAGTGCAGATCACAAAGGAAACTTGTCGGGGGACTCAACAAAATGATGAACACGTCAGCTTCATTTTTAGGGTCATTGGTATTGTCGATGACCTGAGAGGTGAGTTTTTCGTTTATTTTAATGTTTTAATATTTTTTAGCCATAATAATCTGACTAATTGTACAATTAAGATTACAAGAAATCATTCTCAGCAAGAGTGACACTCAGAATTGAACATGCAAACAACAACAGGGCTCGAAATTGCGGCCATTTTGCGCCCATAATTTTATCTATGCGACCTCAAAATATATTTGGGAGCATTTATGCGAGTGCATAAAACTGTTGTGTGCGTTGACTTGCATTTTTTGCAGGACCAGGGTTTCAGCTAAAATCATCTTTACTGTTTATTAAAGAAAAAAAAGTCACCTACATCTTGCATTGTCTGAGGGTAAATCAACAGCAGATTTTCATCTTTGGCTGAACGATCACTTTAATTACTTTCAAAGTACAGTTGAGATTCATATCAGTGATCAGTATGGCAATAAACACTGACCTGCATAATTAGGCTCCGGTTCCTCAGATTCATCTGCTCCATCAAGCGGCTCTAAGTATGAAGCTGGAACCCATCCTCTCCTGGACTCACACTGACAAAACCACCAGCCTGGAAACATCACAACAGATCTCCTTTACACTCTTTGACATCAGGAAACTTTAACATTGATGAAAACTTTAAAGTGCACAAAAAAGGCTCTTTTTCAGACTAAGAAGTGAATGATTCTTTGAAGAACTATTGGCTGAAAGGTGCTTTCGGGAACCAAGACTGATCCTCATAAAGCATTGCTGCAAAATCTGTCTTTTTATTCTCTTTGTTGACTTTTTATTAAAAATTCAAGTAAATTAAAAAGCAATCTTATATACATAGAAAGCATCTTAGATGCGAGTGGTTTTTATGTGTCAAAATAACTTTGTCAAAACGGTAAATGTAAAACCAAACAGATTCATATAAAAACATTCGCCTGGACTTTTTCAAATATATTTAAAATAATAAATGATCATACTGATTTTTGTTTAATTTTTTTTAATTATTAAAAATGTCTTGCTGACAGATTTAAGCAAAAACCTAATGCTTAATCCTAGATAGTGTCATCTCTTAGAGCAAGTTGCGATTGCTCTGAGAGACTTTGTAGGCAGTAAAAGTGAACACTTCACTAGCGAGGAAACAGATCTGCTCTTGTGTGAGTATATTGTGTGCCAGCAGACCATCTACAGAGGTTATAATTATGCAGGCAATAATATTATTTTACATATTATTTTTTTAATTTTTCATGTTTAAAAAATATTTGTGTGCTGCTGTGCATCCCTGTGTGTAATAAGCAAAGTGTACCCACCTATCAACTATCAAATAGCAAAATAAAAAACAGCGCCATTGATTGTAGACCAGCTTTTAGTTGGTCAATGGCGTTTAGTTGGTTTATTTCAGTCGCCTCAAAATAGCAGTTTGCCAACAATGTGCCTTAACAAACCTCCATTTCAGACCAGCACACCTGCACAAATGGCATGAATGTAATTGCTTTTTAAACAACGTATCACACGACAACACAATCTCACGGCAATTCGTAACTTTTTCATTTAGTGGCTAATTCGTACAAATTCGTACGATCTAATTTGTACATTTTAGTACGATTTGCGTATCCCCCAATGACGGTTGGGTTTAGGGGTGGGGTTAGGTGCCACGCCCCCTTTTTAAAATCGTACATTTTCTTACGACTGAACTCGTACGAATTAGCCACTAAACTGCCAAAACGTAAAATACTTACGTTTTCTCGTGAGATCAGGCAAATTGATACCTGCAACAGGCTGAAAGTGAAAATAGGCAAAGAATCACTTGCGTCATGGCGCCCCTTTGCACCAGGTGATTGATAGTTAGGATTGTTTGACTTTGTCTTCTTTGCTGTCACTTTTTATCGGTTTATTCTGTGCTTAATATAAATTCACTCCAAACGTCTGAATGGTAGTGTATTGGTTTCTGCAGAGCCATTGTTTTCAACAATGCTAATGGTATAATGTTGTTTTTGAATGTCAATTCAGCATATCAGAATGATTTCCTAAGAGTCATGTGACACTGAAGACTTTTAAGTTAAGAAGTGAAGTGAGTATTGTCAAGTAAGGTTACCCATACTCAAAATTGCTCCTCTGCTTTTGACCCATCTAAATCCACCTCCCTAACAATTCGGTCACAATTGCCCCTTGTTAAAATTTTGTTAAAAGAATTTAAAGCCCTAAACGTTATTGTGTTGTACTTTCATTAATTATAAGGACTCACCATTTGGGCTTTTCTCCACGATGTCCACCATGTCTCCCATCTTCAGCGTGAGCTCATACTTGGAGCTCTTGCTGTAGTCTGCGATCACTCTGTAGGTCTCGAGAATGATGGGCCCTGTGATTTCTGCAGAGAAAACAACAGCTATAAAAAACACTGTGGAGAAATAACATACAGTGCTTTGCATTTACAGGAAGCTGATCCTACCTGATGTGGTGTTGCTCCGTACTCTGTTTGTGGACATAATGAAGGTCTCATTTCTTTTGTATCTATAGAAAGATAATAGGTAATGCAATGAGCATTTATATGGCGCATGCTATACAATCATACAAAGGAGTATTTTTAAAAAAGTATCAAATAAAAAAAGTAATTCAAATAAAAAGAGTAAAAAATATCAGTTACATTTTATTTATAAGAAATGATATGTTAAGTAATATAAAGCATGATCTCATGAGGAAACGTAACTATTTTATGTTTTATCAGTTTCGTAATAATAATTTGTTCGAAATAATTCAAGTTAAGTTGTACAATTTTAGATTTTAAGTACCCAACCTCACGCCTAAACCCCGCCATCATGGGGGATGATCAAATCGTATCTAAATTGTGCAAATGAGATCGTACAAATTTATTCGAATAAGCCGCTAAATCAAAAAGTTATGAATTGCCATGAGATAGTGTTGTAATATCAAATAAGAAAGCAAGCTGTTCATTGTAATATCAGCTAATGTGGTATAACAAAACTGAACAGTTAAAACAACAAGAAGTTATGACTTAGTGAATTACAGTTTAGACACGACTTTGTTTAGTTTTTTCTGTGTGTTTCATAGCAACAAGAAAAATATTTCGCTCCTGAATAAATCAGATTTGAAAATCAATTTAGCCTATATGTTATTCAGTTCTTCATTCATTTTGCTTGTCTCATTTCCAAATGATCCAGCAGTTTTGAACGAATCGCTTGAATGAGTGATTCAACCATCAAGAAAGAGATTTGATGCTTCGCAATGAGGTCCATTTAAGTAGTCTGTCCAGAAATGGGGGGAAGGGTGGTAAGAAAATAATGTTAACTTGTGCATTGATTTAAATCTGTTTTGTTTTTTCTGTGCGTTTCATAGCAAAACAAACACATTGTTGCTCCTGCATGAATCATGTTTATAAACAAATCAATTTAGCCTGTTTCAGTCATCCATTATTTTTACTTGTCTCATTTCCAAATGATTCAGCAGTTTTGAAAGAATTGGTATTGAATTGGTGATTCAACAAAAAACTCATCAAGAAAGTGATTGAAGTCATTTAAGTGGTCTGTTCAGAAAAGGGAGGGTGGTTAGAAAATAATGCTAACTTGTGCATTGATTTGATTCTGTAAAATGTGAAAATAATAAATTGATGAAAAAAGAAAGTAGTTTGAATCAGCAACCATCATGAGCAATGGTTAAACATAAATTGCCCATAAATACGCACTACAAACACCAGAGCATATGCATTAACCACAGAGCAACTATAAGTTTAAACAGTCAGATTTATAAAAAGTTAAAAAAAAAGACAAGAAACACATTTTTGCTCCTGAATGAATCAGTTTAAATCAAATCACTTTTATTTTCACATCATCATCAGCAGCATGTGTGCAATGATGAGTGAAAAGCTTAGGTGCTGGCTCCAGACTGTGCAAAACAGCATACTCCCCAAAAAACAAGACTATGTAAAATTGACAGCGAAATGTACAATGAATAGGTGTACCCATAGTTGTAGGCAGTATTGTTTTAAGTATGGATTGGTTAAAGTGCAGTGCATGCTACATATTGGTGTGCAGTGAGGGGTATGAAAGAGTCTGTGTGAGATGTATTAATCAGCCTGATCATTCATCAGCCTGATAGTCTGAAGGAAGAAACTTTCCTTCAGTCGGCTGGTGCGTGACCAGATGCTGCGGAACCATTTTTGTAAACTAATCAGTTTAGTCTATGATTCAGTCATTCGTTCATTTTACTTGTATCATTTCCAAATGATTCAGCAGTTTTGCACAAATCACTTGAATCAGTGATTCAACCAATAACTCATCAAGAAAGAGATTTGATGCACGGCAATGTGGACATCAGTCTGTCCACAAAGGGGAGGGTGTTACCAAAATTGATTTCACCTAGTTTTCAAAATTTTACTAAGCATTAGCACAAGAATTTTCAGAAAAAGAAAACTAAATGTTGTTTTAAACATCAAAAATATGGCTAAATAAATCAAAAGTAAATCAGACAATATATATTTTCCATTTTTCAGGGCTATAATACTCCAATATAAGCCAAAGATGTATTTAGAAGGCCTAAATTTATTTAATATAATATAATGTGATACATAGATTGTAATTAAATTATACTTAAAAAATGTCAATAAGTAAAATTTTACCAAACAGGAACAAACTTTTGCTCCTAAATGAATCATTTTATAAACAAATCAATTTAGCCTATATATTATTCAGTCATCCGCTCATTTTACTTGTCTCTTTTGCAAATGATTCTGCAGTTTTAAACGAGTGATTCAACCAATAACTCGCAATGAGGTCCATTTAAGTGAGCTGTCCAGAACGGGGAGGTTTAGAACATAATTCTATCTTGTGCATTGATTTGATTTAGTAAAATATGAAAATATTAAATAGATGAAAAAAATGGCATGAATTAGCAAACATCATGGGCAAAACTTGCAAAAATTGCCTAAGTAACCACTTACGGATGTGGTGCTGGTGGAGTTTCATCTTCAGGCCTCATTTTGAAGAAGTCCCGAATGAGCTGACAGCGGGAGATGTTGGCGGGCAGGTTGAGAAGAGATCGGCAATATTCAGCAAGAGTCGCCTGCCTCGTCTCTGTGGTTTTCTGATTGTCCAGCCATTTAGGAGCTGAGAGAGATTTAACGACAGGACGTAAGATGAAGTATTGCATTAATATACACAATAATGTAAGAATAGGTTTTGAATATTACACAGGCTCTATATATTTACAATATCTTTTATGAAATATATTATTTTGTTCAAGTAAATTCAACATAGTCGAATTGAGTTATTTTAATGTTACCAAAATAGATTTCACCTAATTCACAGAATTTTGCTAAGTAACAATAGCACAAGAACATTCAGAAAAAGAAACTAAATGTTGCTGTAAACATCAAAAATGTGATTTAAAATAAATTAAAAGTAAGTCAGACCATCTGTATTTTTCATTTTTCAAGGGGACAATACAGATATAAGCCAAAGTTGTATTTTTTAAGGTCTAAATTTAGGAAAGTGTCACAATAACCAGCAATCCAGCCTGTGCAGATTGCTGGTAAACACAGTATCGCATAAAACTACAAATCCACCATTATATGGACTATAAGATCCGGTCATGCACTGCACACACACACCGGTTCCTAATCCTGGCTGATTACTAACTCACACAGGCTGCTCAAAGCCAGATTAGTTTGACCAATAATAAATACAGCACACTTACACAGACTTTGCTGAGTCTTGTTATGCTGTTTCTGAACATTATGACGCGGTTGCCTTGCTTTTCCGTGTTAGACCTTTGCATTGTTTGTTTACTTTGCCTGCCTGTACTGACTATTCACCTGAAATTTGACTACAACTCTGAATTTCCTGCGTAAATCGTTGCTTGCCTGACCATCATCCTAATAAACCCTGCGTTTGGATCCGCACTTCCATTGTCAGCATCTCCCCGTTCACATTACAGAAAATAATACTTAGATTATAATAAAATTATACTTAAAATTGTCAATAAGTAAAAAAAAACTTTTTTTAACTAAACTTTACCAAACACAAATAAATTAATAAAAACTAATTGTAAATATTTATAATAATTGTTAATAATTGTATGAGGTAGAAACTTTATATGCTATAAAAATTATACAAATAAAAAAGAACAAAACATAAAAACATTTTAAAAATGTAAATATTAAAAGATCATAAAAAACCAACAATAATTTCTGCAGTCATAAAGCTAACCAATCCATCATAATAAGTTACTTTTGTTCATAAACATATTAGTTTCGTCCATCAACACCCTGGTGTCAAGTGAAAATACTATTGCATTTATTATTTAATTATGAGTATTCTATATTTTTTAGATTACAGTAATTAAACAGGGAGTTTTATTTACATTTATTTCAAAGGTTCACCCAGGAGTCATGATTACCTATTAGAGTTTAAGTGAAAACAAAGACTTTTCTATTGTCTGCAATAATGGAAAGTCCAAGGAAAGTACGGCTTTTCATCAAGTCACAACATCCCTCACACAAAAAATACAGTTTTGCAGAACAGAAACTCAAATCATGAAACCCAAACAAGAAGGAATATCACTGCACGCCATACAAATACAAAGTTTTTAGATCTGAGGCACCTTTAGAGAACTTGCTACGCTTGACAAATAGCAGGTGTTTCCTCTTCTAATGCACAGAGAAGCAAAACTTATTTCAGCAGTGTGAAAATAAAACTTTCAATTTATGAGGGCAAATTTATTGCTTGCCAGTAAGTCTGTGGCAGTTGTTAATCTAGTAAATCATTTATGAACAGACATTTTGTTCATTGGGAAAGTGGGTTAAATGGTATGAAGAATTACTATTTACGATCACAAAGTTTTACCTGGTAATGTGGGAATGATTCGGTCCTTTTCGTCAATATCTCCTGCCTCAATAGGAAACATTTCCTTCAGAGTTTTCTGTAAGATAAACATCTTTTACTTAAAAAAGCATTTTTAAGGGTTATTTACATTAAATTATTTCAAACTGCAGTCTCTCTAACAGAAAATATCTTTTTCAAATTGAGCTTATGCTATACAAACTTCATTCATTCATTTATTCATTTTCCTTCAGCTTAGTCCCTTATCTATCATGTGTTACCACAGCAGAATGAACCACCAACTATTCCAGCAAATGTTTTACACAGCGGATGCTATTCCAGCCACAACCCAGTACTGGAAAACACCCATACACTCTTATTTACACACTTATACACTACATCCAATTTAGTTTACCCAATTTATTTTTTATAAATTATATTTGAAGAGTTTAGATGGAAAAAAATCTAAAAGCCATCTGATATTATCCTCTAAAATTGCATTTTTCTCAGAATCCTGTTTGTAGACTCAGTAATTTTACTTTTATAGTGAGGAATAAGTTATTTACATTGCCTTTAAAGTGAAATAACTGAACATAAACATAGGAGAGTGAGAAAATTGTCATTTTAGGAGAACATTTCAGATTAGGTGTTTGCATCGGAACTCTTCATATATATATATATATACAAATACGACAATGAACTAGAAAGACTTTCATTGTTTGCTGCAATGAAAATGAAATCAGTTAAAATATATAAACTTTCTTCACTGTTGATAATAAACAATATAAAAAGAAGAGACTTACATGTAATGTGTGTACTTCTGGATAGCGTCTGTACACCAGCTTTTCAGACTGATCGCTCCATTTAACCAGGAGCATGTACACCTTTGAAAAAATAGTTTTAGCTAAATATCTTTAGCATATTTTATCACAACTATTATTATTTTCATTGAACACTAACAAAGATATTTTGAAGAATGTTGGAAATCTGTAACCATTGACATCCATAGTAAGAAAAAGTTGGTTAATGGTCACCAGTTTCTCATTTTCTTCAAAATATCTTTAAGTTCAACAGAACAAAATAAACTCATAAAGGTTTGGAACTTGTTTAAACATTAAGTGAATCATAATTTTTGTGTAAACTGTCCCTTTAAATATGTACTGTACAGCAGCCACACTTTTAATATTTCTGAATAGTAACTGCTATTTTTTGGACTATAGCCTACAGTTACTTACATAGTGCTGGCTGGGAAAGAATCTTTTCTCAAATCCAAGCAGTTCCACATGTCTCACGTATGTTTCAGCCATCCTGTGATGAAGATGAAACGAGTCTGACGGCGAGATGAAGTGTGTGAGCGAGTCTTCTGTGTGTTGTGTTCACCTGAGCTTTATATGCCTGCAGGAGGAGCCACATCTCGTCTTCAACTTCCTATTTCACCACGGGCCTGATGAGGAAATACGCAACAGAAATTCCAGAATTTGGTGTTTAACAGCATACTGTTAAACAGTAGTGCATTTCTCTTCTGTTTGAGAAAGAACATACTTTGATGGGTAAATTACATATTTGCATTTTGAAATATACACAAAGGGTAAAGATTTTGATCATAAATGTCCTTAAAAATTGTACATTTCTTCAAGCAACCATGGCAATGCTTTTATGTTACTTTAAAATAATTGATTTTAAAGTCACATAATTAATTAAGAGTTAATCAGGTTTCAACTACATTTTTCTTAAAATTTAGCGTAATATTTTTAGTCAGTTTGACTGATTTAATTTGAGATGACTAAAAAAAGTTCCTTTGGTTGAATTAGAAAGTGTAAGGCAGGAAAAAGTTTACCGTGAAATGTAATACATTTATTTAAGCTTTTAAATAGATTGTTTAGACCTGCATTTTGATGTGGAAAAGTTTTCTCTGCAGTGACTTTTGTTGCCATTTGTAATTGTTTAAAGCAATATATCAAATAGAAAATAATATGCATAGAAATAAATCTGAACACAAAATAAGTTATTTTGAAGAAGGTTGGAAATCTGGAACCACTGACTTCCATAGGGGAAAGTCAATGGTTTCTTCTTTTCTTCAAAAAAATCTTCTTTTAGGTTCAAAGTGGTTTGGAACTTGAGTAACGACAGATACATACTGCACATAATGATAATAATAATAATAATTATTATTATTATTATTATTATTATTATTATTATTATTATTATTATTATTATAACAATAACAACAATAATAATAACAATAATAATAACAACAACAACAACAATAATAATTATTATTATTATAACAACAACAACAATAATAATAATAACAATAACAACAACAACAATAACAAGAACAATAACAATAATAATAATAATAATAATAATAATAATAACGATAATAATAATAATAATTATTATTATTATAACAACAACAATAACAACAACAACAACAATAATGACAACAACAACAACAACAACAATAATAATAATAATAATAATAATAATAATAATAATAATAATAAAAATAATAATAACATATCATTGATGTTTTAATGTTTATTATAATGCAGGGGACGTAATCAAACTTTTTTTGAATTTCCAAACATTGACTATGCTACCCTATATTTAAATGTTTTCAATTTCCTCATATAAGGTCACATTAGCATCAAATGTGGATGTTCAGTTGTTTGCTGTTGTTTTCTTGTTGTTGTTTTTTTTAGCTAGGTTATTTATTCATTTAATACTTCATGTATTTTATGTTTTCATTATTTAATTAATTATTAGCTTTTAATTAAGTGTCCTCCCTACACATGACACCACAAGATTACAACGTGGTTATAATTAATACATATTTTAACTGTTTGACATTGTTAAAATTACATAGAGTGACTGATGTTGTTGGTTTGCACCATCCACTTTCATTTTTAAACTGTCTGCTAGTTATTTGGTTTTCATGATCTGAGGTGAACTGTCTGCTTCTGCTTTCAGTTGTGTGGCAATGAATGTCACGTTATATGGTGTTAAAACTCACATTGGTAGCCTCTATCACTGAATAAAGCACAGAATCTGTACCTGACGAGATCAATGTCATTTGTCATAGTAGTTCATGATGTTGTTTTGCTGCGACGTTGCATAAATAGACATTCTTTCACGTTGATGGACATGGTAGGACAAAAGCTCTCTGTGTGACAAACAATGGAGCATATTGTATTGTTTTTCCTCTGATATTATTATTTAAATTAATCTAAAAAGTAATCCAAAAGTAGTCAGAAGACCCCCAGATAGCATACGAACGTGGGCCACTTTAGGCAGTTATGCGGTACTGGTTGTTTTCCTTCGGCCCAGACAAAATGAATGTGAGCCTGAAGTGGCCCACCTGTACAATGGCAAAGGGGGACAAAAGCCTAATGTGGCCCATGTGGAAAATTATAAATTTGGCCCAAATGATGGAGGACAGATGTGGGCCATAGTTGGCAAAACTGTGACATAGTCAGGTAATCTGGGTCTAAACCTAAATTGGCTCACACGTGTAGGTGCAAATGTGGCCCAGCTATCTTAAGACATATGTGTGCCACTTTTGGCAAATATTTGGCACAGTAAGCTCTGGCTATTGCGAATGTGGCCCAGAGAAAACATGCCATATGTAGCTGTTATTTCAAAAACGTATGTGGGCCACTTTTGGCAAATATTTGGCACAGTAAACTCTGGCTAATGCAGCCGTTAACCTACAGTGGCCCAGAGAAGATATGGAAAATGTGGCCCAGTTATTTTAAAACATATGTGAGTCACTTTTGGCAAATTTTTGGCACAGTAAGCTATAGCTAATGTGGATTTTAGCCGATAGTGGCACAGATAAGATGTGGAAAATGTGGCCCAGTTATTTTAAAACAAATGTGGGCTACTTTTGGCAAATATTCGGCACAGTAAGCTATGGCTAATGTGGATTTTAGCCTTAAGTGGCCTAGAGAAGATATGGAAAATGTGGCCCAGTTATTTTAAAACATATGTGGGCCACTTTTTCTGAACATTCGGCACAGTAAGCTATGGCTAATGTGGATTTGAGCCTGTAGTGGCCCAGAGAAGAAATGGCAAATGTGGCCAAGGTTATCCTAAAACAAATGTGGGCCACTTTGTGCAAATATTCGACACAGTAAGCTATGGCTAATGTGGATTTGAGCCTATAGTGGCTCAGAGAGGATATGGAAAATGTGGACCATTTATCTCAAAACATATGTGGGCCACATTTGGCGAATATTCGGCACAGTAAGCTATAGCTAATGTGGATTTGAGGCTATAGTGACCCAGAGAAGATATGGAAAATGTGGCCCAGTCATCTTAAAACATACGTGGGCCACATTTGGCAAATATTCGGCACAGTAAACTCTAGCTAATATGGATTTGAGCCTATAGTGACTTAAAAAAGACATGGAAAATGTGGCCCAGTTATTTAAAAACATATGAGGGCCACTTTTGCCGAATATTTGGCACAGTAAGCTATGGCTAATGTGGATTTTAGCTTAAAGTGGACCAGAAAAGTTATGGAAAATGTGGCATAGTTATCTTAAAACATATGTGGGCCACTTTTGGCAAATATTTGGCACGATTAGCTCTGGCTAATGTGGATTTGAGCCTAAATCGGCCCAGAGGACATTTGGCAAATGTGGCCCAGTTAACTAAAAATATATGTAGACCACATAAAATAAAGTCATCATCATGGAGAAAACTGTTTGCTTCAGTTGGGCACATAGCCCTGAACCTCTTAATATAAATTTTCTTTTGGGCTGCTGAAACACCCTGCTGAAACAGTGGGGGTTTATGCCCCTTTAAGAGCTTTGCTTGAAAAGTTTGTTCATTACAGCAAACAAAATGAAGTGAGGCACAACCTGTGATAACATAATATAATTCACTGATATTTACCAATGTTTAATCCATTTTTAGACGTAATAGGCCAGACCTTGGCCAGAATAAAAGCAAACTGTGGCCCAGAATAAAGTCAGTTCTGGTTTATTTGGTTAAATATATGGTATTGCTTTAGCTTATTTTTGGCCCAGATCTGACAAACAGGAGCGGACCGCCCTGGAGCCATCATTCCTTTCAGTATGTGGTCCAGATGTAAGTGTCTGGTGTGGGCCGGATCTGGGCCAAAATAAAAGCAAACTGTGACCTAGAATGGAGTCAGTTCTGGTTCATTTGATTAAAGTCTGGCTGATATGTGAAATTGCTATGGCTTAAATGTGGCCCAGATCTGCCAAACAGGAGCGGACCGCCCAAGTGCCATCATTCCATGCAGTATGTGGGCTGGATGTAAGTGTCTTGTGTGGGCCAGATTTAAGCCACATGAATTTTGCTAGCTGAGCATAATCTAAAAATAGTCATCTTAAATAGTAATTAAATTACTAAGTATTCATTTTATAACGATTTTAATGATTCAAAACAGTCAATCCTAATCAAGTAACTGTAAGTTCTTTCTTAATGTAGACCAAAGTGTCAATATGGACAACAGCAATCAATATACAAAATAGAAAAAAATATTTAAATACTAATAATAATGATTTTGTTAATATCGATTTACTGGTTACACTTTATTTTTTAAGGTGTTAAGGATTTGGTTTAGGGTTTTTATGCAAATTTTTGCCGCTGTTTTTACAATACAGACATTCAATGCAGTAATATTAAAACAGGTTCAGAGATGATGTTTTCAAATATGCCATTGTTTTTGTTATTTACATTGGCATCGCTGGTTTAAAGTTAATGCAGACTTTGTAAACGAGCAGTTCCTCACGTTCACATCTGTGCCGTTTGAAGTGAAAAAGAGAAGGAAGCATATGAAAAAACGAAATGTTTTTCTAGTGGTCACGGCTTTTGTTCCTCTTTTGATAATGAACAAATGTCTTTGTCTGATTTTACTGCGTAGTACAAGTGAAAACAGAAAATATACACTGATCAAATGCTGCTTGGTTTTTTCACATTTATGTTCCCACTGCGACAGCATTTCGCAAGCTGAAAGATTTCACAGGGGATTTCGGAGGGTTTGTGATGAAAGATATAACCACAAACCACCCTGCTGCCCATAGCATCTTAACAAATGCAAAACCTAAAGTTTAAAAAAAGGTTTAGTGTGTGTTTATATAGAATGATGCACTATATAAGATTCTGCATCTAATTAAATGTATTAACGTCATTTAATTTAGACTGCCCTGCTGAAAAATCCAGCTTAAACCTGTAACGCCGGGGAGTAACACCACAACAGAAGGTAGGATCCAATGTGCAGGTTTATTCACAGTCAGGCAAGCAGTGGTCAATACGGGAGCAAACAGGTATGTGAGGACAATCCAGAATCGTAGTCAGTTAAACAATCAAGAGGTCGAAAGGCAGGC